GCATCCGCAAGCCCGGGTATCCCATGCATGTCCTGCTGGGGATGGCCCCAGGTTGCACTGCCTTTCGCGCTTGGGGGTTCATATTGCTCCCCCCCCCCAAAGCACAGCCTCGTTCGTTATTCAATTGAGAAGGTCTGCGTCATGTTGCTGTTGGCCGCTGGGCATCATCCTTCAGGCGAGAGAAGAGGGGAGGGGGGGGGGGGGGGGGGGGTTGCTCGCTGATGATGATTTCTCGCCCCAAGAGTCTGAGTGCGCTGTTCTATGTCTGGCAAGTGGAACGGGATGGGACGGGGACCGAGCATGGGTGTTGAGCCGGCTTCTATTTCCATCCAACAGACACTATCGAAGCCCAGACGGTTTGCCGAGAGGTTGGCGAGGAGCGAAAAGGAGATGATGTTGGATATCTCAGACCGAAGCCACCGACATGCCTGAGTGAGCCATTTACCACGGTTACAACGACGGGACAAGAAAATCCGGTATTTCCGATTGTTAGAGATTGATCGACATTGGTGTGCCCATGTTGAGAGAGTGCATTCTTCGAGAACACCGACTAGTCAGTTCGTCGAACCTCTGGAGCGGGAAAAGCAATACTCAAAAGGCATTCCGATACAACCGACTCTCGGCGTCTATTGCTAGGTGAGGGTGTCTACGGATACCCCTAAAAAGAAACGGCGCCCTGCCGTCCGTCCGTCCGCACGCATCCGGCACTGCCGTGAAGGAAGTGCCTTGCAGCGTTCCAACCGGCCCCATCCGTCTTGATTAATACGAGCAAGGCACTGACTTATTGGCCCAGAAAACTCAGTAGGCGAATAGGCTCCGGCCACAACAGCAGCTCACCCGAGATGGGCCCTCAAGCACGCACTCGACTCCGTTGATCGGCTTGCCGAGCTTCCTATCTCGAGTCGGTACCCGGCTCCCGGTTCCTCGTCCTCGCCTTGCCGTCTCCCGATCAAAGGAGGGAAAGGGAACACCGCCCGCCCGTCCACCCCGAAAAGACTCCATCCCTTCCACTATCGGCTGCGACGCCATGCGGGAACTCTCACCCCCATCTGCACATGCCATGGCTGGCTGCCGTGTGTTTATTTCAAGAGTCCGAACCCCGTCTTTCAAACGACTCGTTGCAGGGGCAATCCCCTCCTCCCCTTCAACCTGTGAGCCAGCCGCGCAAACCAGCCCCTTCTATGATGCGGCCTTTCGATGTGGATGCTCTGGAGAAGCTCGAGTCATGGTCCAGCTACCCAGCCGCCTAGAGCCTTTCACAGGAGGCTGGCACCCCCGTGAATGGTCCAAACCACCCTGAAGTCGGTCACTCTTGTTATGGGGACCTGCCAGCTCTTGGCCCCTTAAGGAGAGCGCGGAATAGGCTCCAACCACGGTTCTTTGGAGCCGTCGAGATATTGACCGAGAGCCAACGACCCGTTTTTGAGCAGGTTTTGTTTTCTTCTTCCTTTCCCACGTCGCCTGCTCAACGAGACTGAGGCTGCCACGTATGAAGGTCTTCTACGGATATTCCCCGCCCCTATGTACGGTGTGACCGTGCTGGCTTTTGATGGTCACAACATCGCATTCCCTTCCCGTTGAAATGAGGATGGGTATCTCTTCATCTACTCCTGCTGGCCCTGCCGCAGATCCCGTGGGTTCCCTCACCCTAATTACGATTAGCCCGTCAGCCCGTCCTCGCCCAAGGCTCCAATCCGTCTAGTCTTACATCAGCATCATACTCCAGACGCCCGTGTGCACATGAAGGGGCGAGTGGACGCCGTCTTCTCAGACAAACACTCTCGCTTGAATGCAGTCCTGTCAACAAACTTGAGACCAGTCTCAGACACTTTTAATTATGCGAGGCTGCCATTGTTGTTTACCTGTTCCCGCGCAAGCATTCGTCCCTCGAGAAGCATCTCGAACCATACACGTCTTCTAGGAATGAAGCTGCCGTCGCATGACAGGCCTGCACGTCTCAAGAAATGGCTTTCTTCCGTGTCTTGGTAAATCCCCCCCCCAAAAAAAGAACCTTTACATCAACAAGACACCCATGACGCTTGCTCGACAAAAATAGAGAGCCGAAGCACGTCGGGCTGAGGGGAAATACGCGGCGAGACGGGGAAGCCGGCTTTGGATGCATTTGGGTCTGGTAGACGTCGCCACCACGATTCTTCATGTCGACACCATCGTATTATCCTCCAAATCTCGTTCGACAGATGGCTCGAGCTACAAAGGTCGAATGCCACAGCCCCAAGACCTTGAACGCCTCCGACAGCGGTTCAACGACGACGAACCACAAGGGGGACGTCTAGGAAGACGTCCCGTCGACAGACCAAGCCGAAACCCAGACAACTCCCCCCAGCGGCTTCTCCCTGTAAGCCGCACCGAAGCCCATGAGCCGCCTTGTGTCCTGTGCTTTGCGTATACAAAGACTTGCTGTCCCGAGTATGACACGATCGACCAGCATCTCGCTACCGAGATGCTCGTCCGAGTTCTAGATCCCGTCACCGGCAGGCGGCAGCAACCCCCCTTTTGCATGTGTCGCAACTCTCTCGTTGCCAGCAAGACAAGAAAACCCTCAACGGAAGAGGAGGAGTATTGACAAGCACTACACCTCTGCGGTTTCCTTGATACTGATAGTGTGTGTGTGTGTGAATACCGAATACCAGCCGCTTCGGAAGTCATCCAATCCCTCCCCTCCGGATTTGTTTTCTTCTTTCTTTTTCCCGGTCTTCTTCGTGTGATCGATCGCCTCTCGAGTTAGTTCCTCAACCGGTCTGACCAACGCCGTTCTGCATCAAACCAGACACAGGGCAAAAGGCCACCCCCCAGCTCGAATGTTCACATCCTTCTCCCCACAGCGAAATCGGGGAAGTGTTTCCGGCGCAAATTACCTCGTACTCGCGGCCTAGCAGCACCGCTCCTCTGGGCCGCACCCCCCGCCCCTCTCCGAGGGCCGAAAGGGGTCTAGATCGTCTACTCCCGCCAACATCTCAGTCACGCATGCTCTTGTTGTCCTATTGTCGCGTCATCCACCTGAATCGGGTAGCGGCCTCGAATGGGCGAGCTCTCCTGATCATCTCTTCTCTGCCACGGGGTGTGCGGATGTACCGACGCTCCAGCTGTAGAAGGAGATCGGCTTTCTGTGCCGCTGTCTCCCATCGGATAGTCTTTCCTAACCTTTCGATAGACCTCGACATCTCCCCATACCCCCTTCTAATAAGCCCTAGCTCACCTCATGCAGCGTAATTTTCGATCCCGTATTTGGTGATGCCGGTGCAACTCTTGACAGCGGCCACAAGAGGCATCTAGATCATACCGCACTCCCTAAAGGCACCGGAAAGCTCCGTGGCCGCGCGTTCCTAGGGCTGCCAGGCCACCTCTCCTGAGGCGCCTTCTTAGCCTTAGTGTAGGAATTAGTGCCTTGATGTTCCGCCAGACCCGGTTGGCGCCAAGCGCCCATCAGGGGGGGCGGTTTCTTTTCTCTTTCTCTCCTTCTTTCAGCTGCGAGAGTTTACGCCTGGTGGCACCAGGGATTACGTAAAATTTTCTCCCAATCTGCCCTTTAGCCGGCGGCTCTCGCCTTCTTTCCAACGGCCCGCCCTGCTGGGCGGTGATGGAAGATACCGTGCGTGCGGTTTCATCTCTCTTTCCTCCGGATACCCGTTGTGTCGAAGACGGAGATAAATTAGGTTTGGATTTATCGAGATTCGACATCCAGCTGGGCCTGGACCGACACGCCCGCTTGAGGGGTTTTGCTCGGACGAGGAACAAGGTACAAGTACAAGCCAGTCCCCTCGTAGGGTCGGCAGTCACACTACGTTGACTTTACTATATACCCTGTAAGGCATATAGGGAGAGAAACCGCTCGAACGAGGAACAAGAGACAAAGGAGAATGGCCGGCTAGTCCCCCCATCGTTCTAGCCCGTGGCTAATCGGCGATTACCATATGTTCCCTAAGCCCGACTCGGGGAATAATAACTGATGAATTGGACTGCACGACGGGTCATGGTCTGGTCCAGCTGTACGACGATGATGGGATCATCCTTGCCTGCCTCGGGGCTTTCGATTGGGGCAAGCTGCGTAGTGCGCGTCGCCGTCGGTCACCGTCTCTTTGCCTGGGTAACGGGTCCCTATTGTCGTGAGGAGGAACAAGCTGGACTAACTCGATAGTGCGTAGCGATGGTGTGTGCACATGTGCCAAACGAATTCCACGCGCTTCTTCTGGTGACATACAGGACCTTCAAAGTAGACAAGCCATCGTGGCGACAACATATCCCGGGCCAAAGCCCTGGGCAACAGGAGATGCCGGCTTGGATTACAGAAAAGGCTAAACTGATATAACTTTTATATTACATATCCCCTGGAAGAATTTCGGACGAGCAATCAAACCTTTTTGTTTTTTGGCGGTGTCTGTACTTTCCTTGCCTTATTTCCCAGCTTGCTTTTCACTTCCCAGCGAGGAGGATTGAGTCGTTTCACCACTGCATTCGTACAGCGGTGATTTAACAGGAAACCGGGGAAGGACATGAAAACGCGTCGGGATAATCAAATCCTGCGCGGGTTCGAAATGACAACTCTCTCTCTGGAACAGATTAATATATGAGCAAGGCCCGTGCACACTGAAATCACCTCCCTGGCGGCTTCGGACTTCATCTCGACCATTTGATTCTGCGTACAACAACTCGCATTACTCTGTTGCTCCCTCTGCTTTCAAATCGTCACCCAGAGTAAGAGTCAGAAACTGCTTTCCTCCCCGTCTGACGATTGGCTGTTGTGGTTGTGGGCAATAAGTCCGGCACACCTCGGTCCCCCTAGTGAGCAGATGAAATCTATCGAGACTGTCAAAAACCTCTGGTTTTATTCTTCGTTTTAACTGTTACTGGTGATGCCGTTACTAACGAGTTTGGTTGTCATAATTTATATTATAACAAAGATTTGCCATGTCACGCGAACAGTCGTTGGAACCATTGACTATATTCAGAGCTCATCCGAGCACCGGAATAGACCACCGCTATCAATAGACCCGCTTGACCGTGACCAGCATGCTTGGTCCCTTAAAGGCCTGGTAAGCCAGCTGCTGGCCCCCGTGCCTGTTTATCACTCGCACCCGCCACTGAGAACCGATGCTCACACTCGCCTCGGACGTTTCGTGTCTGTACTTTTCAAGTATGTCTTGGCGCCTGTCGGCATAACGTTCGCCCTCTGGGAGAAGGCCCTCGACGATCTCCCAGTCTGGATGCGGCTGCATGCCGAGAACCACCAGCGTTCCTGCCGTTCAGGTACCTCACGAGCCAGAGCATGAGGCGGTGGTACACCGGCTGGGGGACGGGGACGACAAAGGTCGCCACAAAGTCCTCTACGAAAGCCTCGCCCGCGAAGGAGCGACTAACGGGGTTCCAGTAATGCCGGGGCGAGGCCGCGACCTGGCCGACCTCCACGTCGAAGCTGACCCTGAACGAGCGCGGGGGGAACTTGCTGATCTCCTTGCTCCGTTCCCAGCTGACCCGCTTCCGGACGCACATCTCCCACTCCCGCGACGCGGCCGCCGGCTTGTTGACCAGCCAGCACTCCGTGGGCGACTTGCGCACCCAGCCGTCGGCGGTGTGCTGCAGGCCGACATGCACGGCGTGCTCCGTCCCGCAGCGCCGGCAGACGCCGCCCGTCCGACAGCCCAGGTCCATGTACAGCCTATCCTCGGACACGCCCGAGAAGACGACGACCTTGAAGCTGACACCCCTGTTCGTGATGGAGAACGGCGTCAGAGTTATGTCTATCCTGCTCCTCTGCTCCAGCGTCGCGCAGTGGGCGAACCCTGACGGGGACCCCGCAAACGCCCCGCGGTAGAGCTGTTTGCTGCCCCTCTCCGCCAGCCATGCAAAGAGGGACATGTCGTCCGTTATCTCGCCCCCCTCGTCAGGCGGCATGTATGAAGACAGGTCAGAAGGTCAGAATGAGCCGCAGACAGGCAGCCTGTACTACCACCACTTGACATATGCCTGACCTACCATCCTATCTTGCCTATTCTGACTTAGAGAGTGCACATTTTCACGCCAAGTGGTAAACCAAGCCCTGGTTCGGCCAGAGGGTAAAAGGCAGAAGTGTGATTTTGAGCATAAACCTTCTCGTGAACACTGCTGGCATTTTGTCACGGAAGGAGGCGTATCCAGACTGGAAGCCTGACGACATTGATCACACGAGCGTGGTGGACTTGGGCTTCAAACATGACTTAGACCAGCAGGACAGAAGAGCTCACTGAGACAAAGGGCAGGGGGAAAAAGGCATGAACGCCAGAAATATGTTTTGCATTTATGCCCGAACCGAGGCTGAGTTTACTTGTGGTACTGCTCACTCTCCTCGCATTCTCCACGGTGTTTCCGCCAATCCTTCTTCTGGCATTCGGGGCTGCAGTACCTTACATTGAGGCAGCGCATGCACTTCTTCAGCGCGACACCGTCCTTGCCGGTCTTGCCGCAACTCCTACACCTCTCCTGCTGCGGGGGGACGACAGAGCCGGGCTTTTTGTATAGATCCGTGTCGACAATGTCTTCGACAAGGGGCACAGCAAAGGTTGGGCTGATGGCGATGCGGGTAGCGTACTTGGCGGCCGTTCCCCACTCTGGGAGGCCGATGAAGTTGTCGGGGAAATGGCCGTTGCCGCACGAACAGAGGACTGGCTCGCCGGGCTCTAGAGACAGCGGAACGGAGCCGGTCTTGAGATACTCGCAGGAAGACTTGTGGTTCCACGTCCGGCTGCGCTCCGCTAGGGCGGGGAGGACCTTTTTCCAGAACACCAGCTCGTCGTCGTTGACCGTGACGGAGCACATATTCAGCTCCCTGAGAAGCAACAGGAACGACTCGCATTTCTTAATGAGCGGGATTGTCATAGGCAGGACCGCGGCGTCGAGGATGATGGAAGCTGCGGCGGCATCAAGCCTGATTGCGGACACTAACACCAGCATGTGGACACCGCCGCGGTCGGGGTGGTTGAGGCAGAAAAGGCCAGTCTGGCCACCCTGTTGGCCCGAGGAGAGCATAGCCATGGTGAAGATGGATTCCTTGAAGTTGAGTCTGGGGGACGGCGAGAGCTCTTGTCGTCCTGCGTTGACTTCCTCGCGCAGTATCCTCTCACTGACGGAGAACCCGAAGGAGAGGAGCGTTGTGATCCAGCGGTTGTCTTCTTTGCCCGAGAGGTCGATGATGGGGAGACGGTCGAGGTTCAAGTGTGGGGTGTTGAGGTCCGCTGGGGTGTTGGAAAGGCTTCGCGCGAGGTAGGTTGGGAAGACAAAGTCGTCGAGAGCTGTCTTCGTCTGCGGTTGTGTCGGGGGCACGGCGAAGGGAGCGACGACTTCAATGTAGGCCGACTTGCGAGCGATGCGGGTCTTGGCCTTGCTGGCGTCGACTGGAGTTGGGAAGGTGAGCGGATAGATGTGCTTTTTGTCACCAAACACAATGTTGACGGTAAAGGGTGACGCTTGTTCGATGGAGATTGGGACCTTGCCAGCGAGCAGTTTCTTTCCTTTTTCTGCGACGAAGTCAAGATGGCCTGTGATAGTCTCGATCCTGTCCTGGTTCTTGGGCACGTCAGCGGTGAAGATGGGCGCGGTCTCGTTTTTGGGCTCGACATCAGACTCGGCTACAGTAGCCGCCGCGTCAGAAGCAGCGGGATACATCGTCTGTCCAGGCATGTGCTTGGTGACGAATACGCTGTCCTCATCGCCGAGCTTCGCTTGGAAAATTTTCAGCTCGTGACCCAAGGTCTTGCTGAAAACGACTGCGCTTTGAGCGGAACTGACGACCTCCAAGCGAGCATAAGCCGTCTTACGTTCCATCTGGAGCGCAGCAGCTGGGACATAAAAGGAGGCAATGAGCGGAGAGTTTCCAAGCCAACCAGCCGGGTCAGCCTTGACGACGACGGAAAAACCGCTGCTCTCTCTGTCGCCGCTAGTGACGATGTTACCAAAGACGAGTTGAACCTCGTCGTAGAAGTTGCGCCACTGGTGATTCGCATTCTCGCCAGAGATCAAGGATCCTCTGATGGTTGGAGCGCTCATCTTTGCCTGACCCGATCCTGCGTAAACCCGATTAAACGACTCTCGTGGCACAACAAGACTAACGGCCACAACCTCTGGGACGTGCTCCCACGAGTCGAAACCACCAAGCTTACGATTGGGCTTGATTTCTTGACGAAGCCAGGGCTCCGAAAAGACACCTTGTGTGTGCATCTGCAGGGATAAGTCCTGTCTGAGGTTGCCTGTAAACATGAGACTTCTTTCCGCGCAAATCTTCTCTATCAACAGCCTGCAAGTGACGTCGAAATCGGTAACGGACAGTCTGAGCTTGAGATATCGCAGAAGAGAGACGAGCGTGCCACGATGAAAGTGAGAATAGGCCGAGTTTCGAATTAGCTGGGTGACGGAAGCTTTCGAGATGGAGAGGAGCTTCATGGGGTTCTCATGCGCAAAAACATCGAGGTACAGACGGAAAAGGATGCTCGCCAGCGCCTCTGGGTCGATCTTGAGAGGACTCTTTGAGCTCACTCCAGAGAAATGTTTGCTTTGCTTCCATGTGATACGGTTGTGCACTTGAGACGGCGTATCCTTGGCTGAATGTATGCTGTTGGTGCTTAAACCGATAAGAACCTCGTCAACGCTCGATGTAGCAGTGGCGTTTGTCCAGTATTCTACAGGGCTCGCTCCTAGGAGCAGTGAGATTGTACGACCGTGGCCGTAAAGGAGCTTGTCGAATGCTTCCTTCGTGGTATCTTCCGTCTTGAGGAGAGTCTCAGTAAACAGAGCTGACCAAGGTTGGGCGGTGAGTAGAGGCAGCGCCGATATAAGAATATTCAGAGTACCGAAGTGGTCTGCAAGGTTGGAAGTATCGATAGTATCGAAGGCCGCTGGAGCTGCTGTCTTTGATCCGTAAGCTTCGGGATCGAGAGCAAGAATCCGGGCATCGAACTGTCGGCGGTACCATCCAGCTGATGTCTCCTGGGCCACAGCGTAGTGCTGGAAGGTTTGACACAATGCCAGGGCTTCGCTGGCAACAGAACGAATAACTAGTCTCTTTGCCCGAAGCATAGTGCCGCAGGCAGTGGCCCACTCTCGAAACTGAGTCTTCGCGGCGGCGAAGACCTTGGACTGCTCATCCTTCTGGTCGGGCTTGAGAGGAGACTTGTCCGTCAGGCGGAGGAACGCAGCTGCAAGATGGAAGCCCAGAATGGGATCAGTTCCATAATGCAAGATGTGATGCTCCGTCAATGAGGCATAAAACAGGGGATTTGGGTGGCTGGTGACGCCGCTTGGTCCTGCGGCGGCAGATTTCCAGAATTCTTCCGATGCTTCGACGATCTGCTGTGAAAATTGCAAAGAGACGGGGGCAGCTGATCGCAGTCCAGTGAAGGAGACGCCGCCTCCAAAGGCAGTATTCTTCATTTCCAATGAATGCTTCATGTTGGCAACCAAGGCGGCCGAGTCCACAGACGTATCATCAGATTTGGCAGCAGCGTCGTACCTGACCCAAATGGCACGAACATCATCGAGGGTAGCCTGGTCGCAGAATGGCAAGACGTTGCCGTAAGAGCTTGCTTTCCATGATCTCAAGGACTCTGATGCGGAAATGAGCTTCTTAGCTTGGGATGCTAGAACGCTCAAGTCTTTCTTGTCCAGGTGGAGGTTGTAGTACAGGTTCCATGGCGTATTGCCGGAGGCGCTGTTGTCCAGGAGGAGGGAGAGCAGAAAGATATTACGAGCTTGAGTGGATTAGTAAAAGCCGAATCTGATGTTGGGACAAGGGAAGCGGCCATACCCAAGACAGCCTCGTCAATGTCGTTGATGGTGATGTCAAGCTTGCGACTGGCTTTTGGGGTGTTAGTGAGCCAACAGCAAGGGAGCCAGGCTGCGACTTACGGAGTCCATCCTCATGATACGAGGTGTGAAGGATGTTCCTCACATCACCGCAGCCGAGAAGGAGAAGATTGGCATCGATACCATGAGGCAAGTTCTTGGCCAAGTTGATGGCGGGGGTGTTGCCCACAGCATAGAAGAAGGAGATATAATTCGCGACAGTAGGGGTGAACATCTGGGCGATGGGGGCGTCTGGGGTAACTTGGCAACAGAAAACGAGATTTGGGATTGAGATCAAAGATGAAAACTACAAACCAGCCATGAGTAAGCATGGGGGAAAGAACAAGACGCAAAGTGTTTGATGATACTTACGATGATGCAGGAGACCGTAACACAAAGACGGTAGCTATGTGCGATATGGAATGGAACGGCCTGCGCCTTACCAGATAAATGGAGCTCGAAGAGGTCCCAGGAGACACGATGAGCCGGTGTCGGCCAAAATAGATTGGTCTGCGTTAATCAGATCAATCGACGATCCAACAATATGCAGGTTGCGGTTATGGAAAAATGTCGAATCGAACACCAAGAAGGAATGAGACATGTTTTACTACCCTGCTTCTTACTTTCCCCCGTAGAGGCCGTTAATACTCCGTACCTACCTAGGTATTCCTAGCCATCTATCCGTAATCGCAGGGCAGTACCCAAGTGGCCCAAGCTCCTGCCGTCCGCTCCCCATTGACCGCCTTATTCAGCCACAGCGGCAGAACTGGGTGGTGAACTGCTTAGCCACAGCTTTTCGATGCTTTTCGCGACGCCATCGCGTTTTTGCTCTGGCAGCTTCAACACACTTCACAAAGCAATTGACGACGTTCGCGTCACTTCCGCTCATACCGACCGAGGAACCCTATTGGAAGACCCGTTAAATAAGATAGCCGGTCTTTGGGAACGCGACACTTTTTTGCCACTAGCGGAAGCGACACTCATTCCATACCAGTCAAACCAGTTCAGCTGCACTGGAAGCTCCCAGCGAAAAACAACATCATCCCAAACAAGAGAGGGTAGCCATGGCTCCTCACCCTACTCCACGACTTCAGCGTACTTCGCAAAACACACAATACACGTATGAGTCAGCCTCGGATTCTGAATTTGATGCAGCTTGCTCACACAGTCCAGATACAACCTCTCGAGGCGAATCCACGATGTCAAGACATACCCTGTCCAGTCCCCCCAGGGAGCCACGATCCTCCTGTACGCTCATGACAATGGTGTGACGATAGTTTGGCGCGGTGGAAGGCGTTTTAAGCACACACCGAAGAAGTCTTCACTCCAAGTGAACGAGAAACAGAACGGCACCCCCGACGATTCCGTCATGATCATCGACTCGGATGATGACGAACCCCCAGCCAAGGCCGGCAAGGCTCCCCCGCCATTCACGGACAAACCCGAGTTCGAAGATTCCGAGGAGGATGGTCCGTATCCCGAAATCATTCAGACCCTTGATCTTTCCCTTGGCACTACCGCTCTCCACCTAGCCGTGCTGCCCATGACACCCTGCCCCGCCGAAGACGCTTCGTGGGTAGGAGCCGATGTGCTCAAGGAGAAGATCGTCTTTACGGTGGCCTGCGCCACCAACGAGGTCTACGTCATCACGCTGCCACTGACGCCCCCGAGCCCCGAAAGCAAGGCCCGTCCAGAGCTGAGATCGAACTTGTTGGCGGGCAAGGCCGGTTCTGGCCAGTGGGGGGAGCGCGTTGTTCTCCTCGGCGGACAATACAAACACAGTGAAGGTGTTGCCATGTCATTAATCAAGCCAAAGGCAGCATCCACCTCCGATCGGACACGGGAGCAAAACGGCGCATCAAGCACACAGAAACCTCGCCTTGTGGTGGCCGCACATACCCGCGAGGCATCGGGAACATTGCGTCTTTGGGACGTCCCTATGGAAGTCCAACCAGGCGAAGCCAGTGGCCAAATCAACCCCTTCCAATCCGAATTCTTACCCAGCCCTCTATCCAGCATCTCTTTCAACCCCACACACCTTACCCAGCTTCTCACGGTAGCCTCGCCGCATGCTGTACGCATATACGACTATGCTCTGCCCTCGTTGCCTCCCGATGACCAGGCCACCGGGCCGTTCCCTAGCCAGGGATCCTGGCTTCTCTCCTTGTACCAGCCCTTCACTCGCCCTACTTCGACGCGGAAGCCCATTCTTGACGCAGCCTGGATCGCACATGGCAGGGCCGTGCTTGCCTTACTTGCAGACGGCACCTGGGGTATCTGGGATGTGGATGGTGCGAGTCCCTCCGGCGCCTCAATCCTGGGCAAGAACAGCTCTGGTATCAAGGGTGCTGCAATCACGACCTTCAGCGTCAGCGGCCATGTCGAAGGCACAGGTCCTTTGCGCACATCAGCTGGAGTACCGAGGTCGAACGGCAATGGCGAGTTTGTTCCTTTGACGCCGCATAGCCGCCGTGATGCTGCGGCATCGTTGAGCGCAGCTGGCTCTCTGGAAAGGCTCGCGTCTATCAGAGGCGGGATCGCAGTGACGCCCTTGCCTGGCAGTGGTTCGGGCTCTGCTGACGAGAGCGTTGTGCTCTGGATTGGCGGATTGGATAATGTCTCCGTCATTCCAGCAGTCTCTCGGTTTTGGGACGCACAACTGCGCCGAAGCTCGGGGGGCGGCGTGAACCTGTTCAGCGGCACCACTCCGACCAGGATGATCCGGTTGCAAGACTTGTCTACGGGCCTCCTCGGAGAGCGTTGCTGTGGCGTTAGCGCTGCGGTCAACTTTGCCAAGCTGAAGGAGAACGACGGCGGCCTGCAGATCGAGGTTCTTATTATGGGGGAGAGCCGTTTGGTGATAGTTCACGAGTCCGAGGACACACCTGGCACCAAGATCGGATCGGTTGTTTCGACACGCCGACGCCTGTTCGGCGACAAGGGCAAGGTAGAGCCGCCCAGCGCCATTATCGTCCACTCTCGGCCCGACCAGCCCCGAAACGTCTCGTTCAACCTTAGCGTTAATAAGACGAGAAGCCTACGTTCGAAACCAAGCGGCCGCGACAGCTTCGATGCCGAGCACGGCACGCACGACTTCACGCTGCCCGTCGGACGGCCTAAGTCGGGCTTTGGGTTCGCCGACACACTCAATGCCGCGGCAGACCTCCAGGACGATGTCACGACGCGTGATGTCGAGGTGGAGATGCTGGATATTCTGGAAATTGACCGGGCTTTGGAGTATATGGAAGACGACCGGGGTAGTGGGCGGAAGAGGGTTCTCTTCGAGGATGACCAGGACCGCTCGTTTCACTAATGTTTGCTGACGACACTTGACCTAGATGAGACCAAAATGTACGATACCCATGGGCCGTCTTGGCAGTCGACCCAATTCCTGCGTTCGTGGTGCGCCTTGTTGTCGGCATTCCTCTTTCCCCGTGTTTTTCTTCGTCTTACGTCGCGAACACACATCCATCAATCGCCTAGCCTCTCGAGGCCAAGGCAATCCGCACGTCCAGGTGGAGCGCAAGGAGAGATTCATCCTTGATCCAGCTCTGTATTACGAGCGGTATATCAAACAACCCCGGTCCTCTGGGACTTTTCTTCCCGCAAGGCACAAGATCGCAAGATGAAGTGTTGTCGGGCAGATCGACTCCATGACTAGGGCATAGCCGACGGTTCCTACTTTAGGACAGGGACTTTTTACGGGTGGGGGCAAAACGGGTGGTTCGGCATACGCGAATTGACCATTTGCTCTCCCAGCCTACCCTGTCATCCTGTTATCTGCTCGAATCCTTGACTCTGGTCGTGTATGGCGGCCGGAGGAAGATGGGAGGGGGTTGGGGATGCCAAGGCTGGGAGGTGGTTCCGTCGGTACATCATGTCAACGATGCGTGATTTGGTGACCAGTGACATGTATTATTTTCCGAGCGTTATATCTGACATGTATCTGTCCCGTTGTGACACAGTACTTCGCCACTCGCATACTTTGTGCTGAGGAGACCGCAGCTCTTTCGTGGCTGATTACTACAAGCCCGCTTGATCTTAACCATAGCCTGCCAAGTCTCCTTTATACCATTGCAGCCGAGATCAACGAGGTGAAAGAATAAGCTGTCGCTACTAAAAGACCGAGGTCATCTAGACAGCACAGAATGAAAGATCACACAACTGTGGCAGGCACCCCGGCATTCGGCTCCACGTCCTCACCAGCCGGTCCGTGACCGCGTACGGCTCCCAGCTTGAGCCCGCCCGCCTCGTTGCTGAGGTAGTGCAGGTCTCAGTTGTCGCGGTCGGCGAGGTGGCTGAACGCAGCGCCGACTTCGGTCGATATGCAGACGCTCAGGAGCTGGTTGCGGGCGGACAGCGCGTTGCCGGTGGACGAGCCGAGGGCGCCGCCGGCGAAGCTGATGAGTTTGAGCTTCGAATGAGGGGGAGGGAACCGCGCGATCATCTCCAGGTGGGACCGGGAGGGACGCCAGCCAGGCTGTCAAAGTCGGCGTGCTCAAAAGTGTCTTTGAGCGTGGGCGGCATGATGGGCCCCTTGCGAGTTGGGGGCCCAGCACGAGCGTCTTGCCGCGGAGGAGCGGCTCGATGATGGCCGACGTCTGGCCGGAGGTGGTGGTAGACGGGCATGAGTCCTCGATATCTCCCGGCAAGCATGTGGCTATTGTTTGCCTACACTCCCGTACCAGCATGGCCCATGCCCGGGCCAGAAGCGACGGTCGAAACTTTTTGCCTTTTTAGTTAAATACGACAAGCGCCGTCGTTCCAAAAACGTGCTGCGAACGTTGCGTGCCAGCCTCCCAGCCCGTAGCACAATACATGATTCATCTTCGGGCCTCCGAAGCAACCCGCGCTTCTTCTCTCGTTCCTCGTTCTCCACGGGCGTGAGCCGGTCCAGCATCTCAACTAAGAGCTTGCGGCAGTTCTGACGCTGGAACCTCTGTAGAATCTGGCCAACGGCCCTTGCGACAGATATCTCGGGCTTCTTTCTGTACGCCAACTCAGTATACGGGCGTACTTCCAGCCTGGCCGAAAATCCGTCCTTGAGCCACCTGTGTTGGTATCGAGCAACCACCATGTCCCCAGCGTGTCACCTATGAGAGGTTTAGACAGCGGAAATACGCCTGGAGATTCTTTCCTCTGGCAACGGCCAGAGTCCGACGAGATTAGGGCCCTCGAGTTGATAATCCTCGTCGGGTTCATCAAAAGCATTCTCGAGATAGTTGGCGGTCTGGGTGGACGGGAACACAGGCCTGTAGCTTGTGACATACGGGATATGATGTCGTCGCCTCAACCTCCTACCATGGGGGTAAACGATGTGCTCAGGTCTGACCGAGACCATTTCCGGAAAGTAATCCACAGTATCGCTTGATGATTCCGATTATAGCATCCCGGTCGTATGTCGAACCGGGACTCCGTCCATGCGATACGGAGGCTCTAGTCAACATATTCACAACCCGGATGCGTTCTTGCTATCGATGTTGACGCCTGGCATAACCCAAGGCGGATGAGCGTTTTCATTGTTCTCAAATGCCACCAGACACCCGCAGGCACCCGAGACTAGATTGACTGTTTAGCCTTGGCGGCAGCATGTTGCTGGCCAGGCCGGCATCGCCGCCAACCGCAACAAGTTTATGCAGGCCGGTTTCTGGAGGCCATTTCTAATGTTAGGGTTAGGACAGGCATCTTACTATTCCTATGACCTTACTTTGCTAGCATGAGGCGGCTCACTGTTGGATTATGAACATCACTTACGGATACATGGGCTAGCTTGGCGGTCCCAGGATTTGAGGCACGGCAGGGTCATGGAAACCCTGTGCCCAGGCCCTCATGTCGCGTACGGCCCGTACGGCACAGTAATCTACGGGCTCCTAACTCATGGGCAGTTGACATCATACTTGCAGGGTGGCACGGAAGCAATGGGCACCTTTTGGGGATGTCGCGTGGGTGGGGGTTGAAAAGCAACGCTGTTGAACTATATTGTATCGCTTTTGGTCTATAACCGCTGCAAAGGGCAAGTTTGGTTCATAATTCCCTCAGTCCCCCTCTAAATACCATCGACATTTTTCTGGATTTGGGCATGTTGTCCCACAAACCATGGCTATAACCGAACCCCACCACGCCATACGACTCTCGAATCGACTCAGTACTCCACGCCTGCTGTGAGCTGTTGAAGAGTCCGGAAGTCCATCAACACATAGGCTTTTTCGCATTCGGGGTCTTCCATCGGGCTATAGAACGGAGGTGGGCGATGGCCCTCAAGCTCACCCACGTCGCGTTTTCTGCGGGGCGCGGTTTCGACATCAGCAACGCTGATGATTTGTAGGCAACTGGAGCCAGGCAGCGAGCGGACGACGAAGCCGACATGGCAATCACGGAAGGCGATGATTCTGTCTCCCCTCTCAATGCGGGCTTCTGATGAGGCGAAGCCAACGTTGCCCCCGGTTCCGGTGAACTGGACGAGTTCGCCGGTCTGCATGCCGGGTAATTCTTTTCTTACAGCCGCACAGCAGCAAGCCCGGGCAACAGCAAGGCTGGCATTCTCAGTGTCCTCGCTGAAGGCCCACCCGCGGGTTTGGTCAGAGAAACAGAGCCCGTTGTATGAGGCCCTGGCTCGTTCTAGTCTGCAGGATCTGATGACCTTGGTTGTGTAGTCCTGCACGAAGGCTTGGAATATGGCGTTGTCTTCTTCGTCTTGGTACAAAGGCATGTAGTCTCCCGAGAGATGTGGCGCATCAGAGGCAGCGATGCTTCCATAGCTCCGTCCGACGTGATGTACATATCCAGCAATGTAACCCTTGGCGATGATGCAATTCCGGAAGGATATGAGTAAAGGGGTGGGATGACTCATTCGGAGATAGATCTGAGGGTCAGGGTCAAGACCACGAAGCGCTTTCTGGGCGAGCGCTGCAAAGCGAACAATGTTGGTTCTTTGCTGGTCTTTGGACTTGTCAACACATTTCACGGGGTTGATTTCCCCGACTGAGAGCCGCACCAAATCTACCTAGGCCTGGTAAGGGGTCAGGAAGTAATCGATGGTCAAGTGTGGAAGACGGCAACGGCTCGTGTGCATCCCCCGGATTGCAACGGTTGTACATACGTCGGACGCCAATCCGATCAAGGCGTAGAGCATGTCGAGAGGACTTTCCGACCCATAAGAGTGGTACTTGAACAGGAGATTCTCAAAGGGTATTTTCCTGTGTCGGTTTCTGCGGGCTTGCAGGGTTTTGACGACTGGGAGCGTTCCTAAGTGACGCATGTGGATGTCAAAGTCCCTCTCCCTCCATACGTTTGTTCCGCAAACGTACAAGACATTTCGGGCATAGAAAAGCCCGTGAAGAACCCAGATGCAGCTCCAGTAGGGTTTTTGTGCAATAAGAGCCACGGGGATGGGTTGTTGATCTGTCATGTCAAACTCTTGGCCTTCCGGATCAACCATATAATTGACGAGGAATTTGGTCCTCCCGTAGTCCCAATTGAGCTTCATCCGAGTCCAGGGTCCTTCATGCGGCCAGTTTGTCCAAACCTGGCGAGGGTCATCCGGTCCAAGCCAAGAGATGACGATATGGGCCTGTGACACAATGTCCGACATAAGGTAAGCTTGACAGCACCTCTCTTTGTTGTCTTCAAGATTTATGCAAATGGCGTCGATCCATAGCTTTTGGGCATACTCTTTGGAGCGTATGTGCAATAGGGCGAGGGCTAGATTGTGGCCGATTTTGAATGGCTGGCCGTTGATCCTAATTGTCCGCGAGTTGTCCAGCGGTTCCCAGTCTCGGCCAGACTTGGCCAAGGGCAGACTGGCGTCAGCTTCTGATGCATCTTGCCATGCGTAGGAAAGAAAGTTGTAATAGCTTGGATAGCGATTAGGCAGGAGCCGACCAACGGAAAGTGAGCCGATAAGTTCATCGTCAAAGTTGCCGGGGTATAGGCTGAAGACTCGAATGGAATCGGGATCCTTCAGAGGCGTGTGTCGGAACTGTGTTGTCAGGCAGCCTTCGGGCGATGGATCCAGAGATGCCGCGTCGGGTTGATGCTGAAATGGAGGCATTAGAAGGAGTGATGGAGCTTGGGTGGATAAGAGCGAATGAATAGTGCAATGTTTTGATATTGCTGCAAACGGATGACAGTACTCCAAGAAGAACGACCGAGGAGGGATTGGAGGTTGGAGGGATTGTGAAGATGAAGTTGTGGGAAAGGAGAGAGAATAATAGGGGAGTGAAGCCGCGCCTTGGAATCGACCTGGGAAGTTGGTATCATGGAAGGTCCTGCTTTCCTCTGACCGACCATCGGGCTTCTTAGTTACTTCTTCCCCAAGGCGTTGCCTTTTCGACTGCCCCGGCATCATAACTGCCGAGAATATTGCCTTAAAAATCAACAAACGGACGAAACGAATGGACTTGCTGTATCATCAATCGCCAATTTTGATTGAGCTTGCTAAAACGCCACATTTGTAGACCCGAGAACCCCTTCCCATGCTATGAGGTAGTAGTAATGGTAGTGTACAGTGGGACACGATCATGTCCACTCATGAAATATTCGTCGTACAGTTCTTCATCTTCCATGCTCGTCGTAAGAAAACACCTTACATGTTCTTCTTAACCTGCTCGGCGGTGCCCTGGGCCTTGCCTGCGAGCTCGTTCGCCTTGCCCTTGGCCTGGCCGGACAGCTCGCTGGCCTTGCCTGAGGCTTCGCCCTTGAGCTCCTGGGCCTTGCCCTTGGCCTCGCCCGTGGTGTTGGGGACGGCCTGTTTAACCTTCTCGGCGACGTTGGCTGAAAGGGAAGAAACGTGTTAGTCACAGCCCATGATGGTTTGCAAGTTAGATAAGGATGGTGCTGCTGCTTACCTCCGACATTGATACCGTCAACGAGCTTGTCGCTGACCTTGCGGTCGACAGTCTTCAGGCCGTCCTTCACGGCCTCGGTCGGCGACTTCTGGACGGGAGCGGTGGTGGTGAAGGACCTGGGTGCGGCGGCCAAGGTTCTGGGGACAACGCGGGGGAGGGTAGCCAGACGACGGCTGGTGGTCTCGACGAGGAACGACATTTTGAGTGTAAGGTGTGTGGTTTGTGTTGTTACTGTTATTGGTTGTTGTCCTTGTTGAGGATTGCTTGGATTAGGATCGCGAAAAAGCGTCTGATTCGTTTGGTTGTTGTTTTTCGAGTGATGAAAAGGTAGGAAAGAGACTAGGGATGCAGATAGTTCAAATATGAGAAAGAGAATGGGCGGGTTGAACACAGACAGCTAGCAACCAGTTCTTCGCGTCCGAATGAGGTAGCTCACCTGAAGCTGGCTGCATATGAGCTTAGGGTGATGTCATCGGGAGGCGAGGCGAGAATGGGCACGGACGGGCGGCTGCTGTACCTACCACTGTACACCCTGGTTTCGCGGGGCATAGTTAAGCTCTCCCTAACACGGTCTGGAACTGCCCTCAGGGAGGGAGGGGGGCACTGACTGCAGGCCACACATGCCAAAACCCCCCACTAAATGACGTTCCTGGAAGGCCATCGAGACATTGTATCACACCTACATCATCGATCGAGACGACGCTCCCCAAAAGTTCGACCCTGCGGGCTGTGTTTGAGAAAGGGAGATGACGTTATGGCTACTTTGGCAGCTCTTCATCGCACCCTCGCCCACACCAAGGCTTGGCCGATTGCTTTGGGCTGGTTGCATAACCGAGGCCCTCGAGGCCCAGAATCCTTCCTGGGCGAAGAGGGAAAAATAGGACTGAAAGGATGGCTCGGCACCTTGAGGCTCGAGCGAACTCAGGTTTGGGTATGGCCCCAGCTATCAACCCATTACCCATTGCTGCGTTTCCAGCCCCAAACTTTCCTCGCTGCCGAACGCTCCCCTGATCTCGATCCCTCACCCACCCCACCCCCCCGTGTTGTTCGGAGCATCCACCGAGTGGCAGCCGTCTGTGCCCTCGGCCCTGCGACCCCACTCTGCCGCGACCCGGACCTGTGAGCGGAGCCGGGAGCCTTTCTGAACCGTATCTGTCTCGGACTCACATATGACCCGCATCGTCTTGAGCTCCCTTGCTTTTACTGAACCAATGAAGCACCCCTGTGATCTGCAATCCCGCCAGCTAATGGCATGAAGGCATGTGAGGAAAACATCGTCATCATGATCGCCGTCATTAAATACCCCCCTCCGACCCGTTGGGATGTTGGGATAACGGCCTGGTACCTACTGCCAGCTTCACATTTCGATAACTTCACGTTGAAATCAATACACACAATATTTGCATCGCAACTGCAGATACACAAATTGAGCCATACACAAACCCTCTCACCATACCGCATAATGTCGTCCATGGAGAACGTGAGTTTAGCACCTCCCTCCCCTCTCCTCTCTTTGTCTCACATCCCCCTGCCTTGTTCAGTCCTGTCCAATCGAGGTGCACAGTCTCAGACCCGTTGGCTGACACCGAGTTCGTCGTAGCAACACGGCGCGTACGGCTCCTTCGGCTCCGCCAACGACGCGGACCTGGTCAAGAAGGTCAATGCCTTCAACGAGAGCAAGATCGAGCACGGAGGCGAGGAGCCCTCTTCGGCCGAGGGCAAGGCCGCGAAGGCGGGTCTCGGGACTTCCAGCGGTGATGGCAAGGATGTGCAGGAGGCCGGCAGTAAAGTGTCGGAAAAGGTCGGGGACATGCTGAACAAGAACAAATAGAGTAGCTGGGCGATGCTGGTTTCGTCTTATAAGCTGCCCGGTAAATCATCATCAATGAGTTACGAAGCTTCATGATAATGGTCATAAGTATCCAACACCCCATAGGGTTGTCGAGAAAGAAGTTTTCCTTCTCTCTACTATCTACACGTGCTGCTCCGCTTATGCCAAGCCTGTGACTAATTATCTGTACACGGCCAACAAGTCCTTTTTTACCCAACATGAACAATGTGGTATCAATTGCAGCCATTTACTTCCTTAGGCGACCCTCACAGAAACGCAGTCAAATGGCGTTTACTGGCCCTTGAAAACAGGCTTCCTCTTCTCCTGAAACGCCTTGAGCGCCTCGTTACGGTCCTCGGTAGCAACGACCCGCTCGTACATCTTGTTCTCGACCTCCTCCCTCGCCCACGCGACAGCCTGCAGCGCGGCGCGGATGGCAATTGGGCCGCCCTCGCAGATCTCGCCCGCGAGACGCACACTCTCACTCAGCGCCGCCTTGCGGGCCACGAGCAGGACGCCCTTGTCTTTGTCGCCCTCGCCGGCTTTCTCGGCCTCCTCGTGAGTGATGTCGACCAGACGGTCCGCGATGCCCAGGAAGTAAGCCTCCGGGGCCGAGACGCGGCGGCCGGTGAGGATCAAGTCGCGAGCGCGCGAAAGGCCGATGAGGGCGGGCAGACGGTGGGTGCCACCAGCGCCGGGGATGATACCGAGGCGTGTCTCGGGAAGACCGACCTGGGCATTGGATGAGAGGACGCGGAAGTGTGTGGAAAGGGCGAGCTCGAGGCCGCCACCGAGGGCGATGGACGAGATGGCCGAGATTGTCGGGATAGGGAGGTTCTGGAGGGATGTGAAGGTGGAACGGAGGTTGTGGAGGAACTCGTCAGTTCTGTGGAAAGAAATTCGTGTTAACAGGCTCAAGCAGGTCAAATACAATATTCAAAAGCCAATCGGCTTGGACTGAGGTATGCGAGTAGCACCTACTCCTGCTGCGTGAAGCCCCGCCTCTCTTTCAAGTCGGCGCCGGCGCAGAAGCTCGTCTCAACAGCGCTTGCAAGAATCAAGGCACGGGTCGGGCCCTTGACGTCCTTGCCAGCGGCACCGCCGAAGACGGCCTTCTGTGGCAGCTCATCACCAGTCTCCGGGTCATATTGGGCGTGGATGGCGTCGATCTCGGCGCGCAATTGCGAGAGCAGGGCCTTGGAGAGGGCATTGCGGGCCTTTGGGCGGTTGAGCTCGAGAATGCGAATGTGGCCGGACCCGGGGGCGGGTAGCTGTGTAACGGTTATCAGCGGCTGGTTGGAGTCTGAGGCGGTCGATGTCGAGTAGAAAGCCGCCGCCGCCGCCGACTTTGAAGATACGATGGTGGTGCGCGGGATGCGGATTGCGACGCGGAGGGGGGTGAGGCGAGGAGGCATAATGGCACTTTGGGGGAAGAATTAAGAGATGACAAGAATTGAGGGTTAGTATAGTGTAACAATTGAATGCAGGCGGAATGCGGAAAGCTAGTCGCAGATTTCTTTTGATCGTGCGTGTGCGGTTCGGCAGAGCTCGAGAATTGGGCCGAGGACGTGGATTGGAGCGAAAGCTCCATTGGTGAAAATGCGATGACGTTCATGGCAGACCGGGTTTGCTCGGCTATTTGTGGGGGCCATTTTTGTCACTTGTCATCCGCCAGCTGTCAGCCAGCTACCAGCTGTCATCTCTAGCTCGGGACGAGAGGCAGGTACGGTACAGGCAGGTACGGTACAGGCAGGAAGGTTCCTGGCCAAGGTCACCGAAGCCGGCAAGAAGCTTGGATCCCACTTTTGCACACACACAGACACACGCACAGCTGCTTCGGCTCTACAACACTAAAAACAACCGTCGTCAATGCTTGGCTGGTGGAACACTTACCGCGAGGAACACCGTCTCAACGAATTCTCGAAAAGAAATATCCGTACCATCATCACTAACCCCTCCGAAAACAGCCAAGACGAATCATTCATCCGCCATCAAGGGGGGCGCCCATGGACCGTGCACAGTGACGTCCACGTTCCTGACGCCAAGCTCTCTCTCCCCCTGCGCAAATACACACATACACATACATACATAGGTAGTTGAGGGGAGTCGCGTGCCCCGTTGGATTCTCTTTAAATGGCGCTCTGCTGCAGCTCTTCCCGTTGACTTCTCCCACTTGTCTTCCATATGTCCATCGACTCCTTCAACATGTTAGACAGCAAAGCAGAGAGCATTCTCGTCCCCTTTCTGGGGGCCATTCAAGCATCCTTGTCAGTCTTGTTGACCATATCAGCCGGAGTCATTGCCGCCCAGTTAGGGCTCCTTGACGATGCCAGCAGCAAGAAGATTTCGACCTTCTGCGTGCGCATGGCCCTCCCTGCACTCCTCATCACAAATGTCGGATCTCAGCTTGACCTCGAGACTGTAAGTTCATGGTCCTCCCTGACACCAGTTTTCGACTTGCCTGACCCATCTATCAGGGAATCCGATACGTGCCTATAGTCATTTGGGCTATATTCTACACCACCGTCTCCATTGCCATTGGCTTCCTCCTCACAAAGGTCTTCGGCATGCCGGACTGGGTCATCCCGGCCATTGCCTTCAATAACACCACCAGTCTGCCTCTCTTGCTTGTTCAGTCTCTGGATGCCACAGGCATTCTTAGCTCCATAGACGACAGTTCGGGCGTTGTGAGCAAGGCAAAGAGCTACTTCTTGGTCAATGCCATGATTGGCAATTCGTTGACTTTCGCCCTGGGGCCGAAACTTCTCAACGGTCAAGAAGAGGAAGCCCCTGACAAGTCCGGGGACGACAACGAAGATGATGAAACTGACGGCGAGAATGATATTGAGTCGCAAGAACAGGATGCCGTTGAGAGGAACGAGCAGACGTCGCTTCTCCCGAAACCCCTGGCGGCCAAAGGCACCCGCGCCAGATACTTTGCCTACGGAAAAGGTAGCAAGTTCTGGTCTTCTCTCTCACCCACAACGCGCTCTATTCTCGACTTCCTGTACAGCTTCATCAACGCTCCCGTTATTGGAGCTCTTCTCGGAGCACTCGTTGGCCTTGTTCCTGCGCTCCATCGCTTGTTCTTTAACGAACCCGAGGAGGGTGGCTACCTCAACGCATGGCTCACCTCTGCCATCAAAAACGTTGGCGAACTGTTCGCTGTATTGCAAGTCATCGTCGTCGGTGTCAAGCTTTCCAGGGCGATTCTCCAATACAAGAACGGAAATGACTCAAAAGACAGCAGAGTCCCCCCAGTGCCATTCATGGTTGTGACCTTCATCAGGTTCATTCTTTGGCCCATCATCTCAATTGGGATCATTTACCTGTTAGCTAGCCGGACGAACCTGGTGACCCAGGATGCGCTGTTGTGGTTTTGCCTGATGCTCATGCCTACGGGACCCCCGGCAATGAAGCTGTCTGCGCTAGCTGATTGCGAGGGCTCCGAAGACTCTGAGAAGATGTTGATTGCCAAGTTCTTGACTGTGAGTATTAGCTTTTGCTCCTCAAAACATGATACACCTGCTGACCTTGCTCTAGATGTCGTACATGATCTCACCCCTGATCTGTTTCACGGTTGTCGGTGCCTTGAAGGCAAGCGAGTCTCTGGCCGGAAGATAGAGTCTTTGAGTGTACTTCGCAGGTGCCCTGACTGAGTGAAATGGCCATTAGAAGTTAAATATACGGAGCAGCATACACCAGCATTGATACAAAAGCTTGCGTTTTAGAGAAAAATATACGACGACTTATTCTAGTTCAAACCATTTTCTGTCTATTTTGCCGATATAATTCCTTTGGTCGACAACACAATAGTGCTGCTGTAAAGATCATTATCATAACATCTAAAAGAATGTTGTCACACAAAAGTTCATCTTGAACATTGGTGTGGCCAACATGATTAGTGAACCTCCCCAGCACCCATGCAACCTTGAATGTCTGCAACTTTGAAGCTTCGGATCCGGAAGTGGCCTGACTCCAGGACAGAGAGCATCCTCAGAAATAGATCTCGTAGGATTTTGCCGCGTCCAAAACCATTTTTTCCAACGGAATCCAATCCTGGCCCGTCGCCTTTACCGCCTTGGTTCCATTAACTGCCCTCCCGTCGGGGGGTGTGCTGTAGTCTTTTTGGTAACCCTTGCCCGGTTCTCCCTCCTTGATGATGTCTCTCCTGCCGGGGTAGGCCTTGCGCAGAATATCACAGTACGCCTGGATGTTGGCATAATTTTCACTGCCGCCCGCAATATAACGCTGCTTGTCCGCAACGTCTGGTCTATCGGCAGCAAACACAACGAGACGAGCGACGTCGCGGACGTCGACGTGTGTCCCATTGCCCGGACCAAATGGGGGCACCTCCTCGCCGTTCATGACTCGGTACGTGACGACGGCAGTGTCGCTCAGCCTCTTGGGGTCCTTGGGCAGGATCAATGGCGGGCCAACTACCCAGACCGGGTTGATAGCCGTCATGCTGAAGCCGATGCGGCCCAGGTTCCTCTCCCGAAACTCCCAAAGGGCCCGCTCGCCCTTGACCTTGCTCGCGACGTAGATCTGGGCGCCGGTCGCGTCCTTCCCGGCCTTCTCAAGCGTCTCCTCGCCGTCGTCGTTCCAGTCCTCCTCCGTAACGATGCGCCCCTCGAACCGCGGGCCATTGCCCCTGACGGCGACGATGGACGACAGGTACACGAACGACTTGAGCCCCGGCTCCCCGACGGCCGAGTCCAGAATGCTGAGAGTGCCCTTCACGGCCGCGCCCAACACTTGTTCGGCGTCCGTGTTGGAGAAGTCGACCGGGCTCGCGATGTGCGCGATGACGGCCACGCCCTTGACCGCGTCGTCAAAGGCGCCCGGGGCCGTGATGTCGGGCACGATGGCCGTGGAGAGCTGGCCCGACGCGGTGTACGAGGGAAGCACGTCGGTGAGACTCGTCGCCGAGTTCTGAGACCTGACGGCGGCTCGCACTGAGTAGCCGGCCAGGAGGAATGCCTCGACAGCCCGGGCGCCGATGAAGCCGTTGGCACCGGTGACGAGAGCGAGGCCCTTGGTCGAAGACATGTCGGATTAGAGATTGTTCCAGTTCTATGCGTTGGGCGTGTTGCAGAAGCGAGTCTTTGCCCTGGGCTTTGCTGCGTTTGATGAAGTCGGTTTCGTAAAGACAACTGATCTGTGGGCGTGGAAGGCGCTCGTTCATCCACCTTAATATTATATGTTTGAGCGCTGTTGTCTATGCTGCGGCGTTGCCGGCTCGGCTTTAACGCGGGTTTCCTACGTCTTATCGCCGGCTTGAACCCCGCATTATTTCTCTCTGCCGCGAGACGAATCAACGGACGAACAATGATGCCACAAACAAGCCCTCAAGTTTCGAAACTCCTAGCTTCATGCCCGCCTGTGGGTTTCGAAGTGATACATGGCGTTTCTTATCGCCGAAGTCGCGAAACTGAGTATGCAGACGACCGTGTTGCTTACTGACTGCAGTAACATGCGTTGCTTACATGAAGTAACATGCGTTGCTTACTGTAGCAAGCATTGCTTGGTAATAGTACCTGGAATGAAACCGCCAATTGGCGGGAGATATCACAGCGGGTTTCATGAAATAGGAGCATCCGGGTGTACTGACTAGGTAACACAATTCTAGATAGCCTGTTTAGTCAAAAATATGTAATTACCGTTGCAGGACCACTACCCTCGCACCCTATCTTCTTTGAACCGCCACAACAGAAAACAGGTGGCGAATACCAGGTAGATCACGAGAATAGATCAACGTGACAGGCAGCCGCGCTCAGGTCCGGGAGACCTCCGTGCAGCAAGTTTATACAGAAGCTCGTTGATGCGGGCGACCACATGTTGATAGTTATGATCGTAGAAGCAAGCTGTTGTTCTTGGGTAAGCGTCATAGGCATAATATCAAGAGAAGAAATGGAAGAGAAGAATCACTTCTTTGTCTAGTACATGTTCAAGGTAACATGGGGGTTTCCTCACGCAGCTCAACCCCGGGTAAGTAGAGGCTACCCTTCCATGGCTCTGGCGGAGCCCCATGCAAGGGGATAGCCATTGGCGCCAGCCTCGCGATACCGGTGCCGAGTTTTGATGCTACGTACGCTTTATTATATCTGCTTTTTCCCTGGTGTAGGTGTTCTGCGCAACTACTACTAGTTCATCATGTTAGGAAGCTGAATCATTGCTGGGAGAAGCAGAGTAATAACCATCACCAGAGTCTATCGCAACAGATTAATTGCACATTCAAATTCACCTACAGGTCCAAGCCCTCGATCACTGATTGTGATCGATTGCACATTTCCTCTGTATGCAAACCATGGTTGACAAGACTTGTTATAGAGTTAAGTCGTCGCGTAAGAATCTCGACCATTAGAGCCTACACACACCTCTTTACTGGCTGCAACCTCAAACCTACTCTTCCTATGTCGCATTGCTCGAACATGTTCCAAGTATTAATCAATCATAGTGCCATATGCAATTGTTATCGTGGCTATTATAATCGAACGTTGTTCCACACATTGACCAGTCTTCACTCAACAGTGGCGAAAGCAGTTCGAGACTGCTCATAATGACCTCAATCCAATCCCGGATATTGGATGATTACTTTACACTTGCCGAAACAGATATTGGTCAAGTTAATATAAGGGTTGACACGTCAAACCTGTTGATTCTTATTGGCTCATACATACCCTCCAGTTCGTAGTCAATTCTCCACCGAGAGCATGGGTCCTCCAAAAAAGACGACCTTTTTTGGTTCACGTCATCCATCCGGTATTCCGAGTTTACCCCACTACTTGCGGTGTCTTCGCGCCCTCGGTAGCCTTAGTAACCACACAAGGAACCACCGGCAACTCGATCTTCAGTGGCAAACTGCCATTCAGCCAAGTTCAGCAAGATTCAATATTCCTGTAAAGGTAAGCTGGCCTCTCGTCTGAGTCGTCTCGGATGATGCATGACAAAGAGGTTATTGAATATTTCAAGACACGCTTCATTGCAGACTTTTGAGATATTGATTGACATTGTATAGACCAGGAAACCATGGACCCATCCCAGGGAAGTCGACAATTGCCACCTGAAGCTATCGCTCTTGCTGGGCGCATGTATGATGGTGCGCGGAAGGGCGATATTGCTCTCTTTCAGCAAGCCTTGCCGGCCGGATTGCCCGCCAATATGACCAATGAAAAAGGCGATACATTGGTAAGCATTTTTGCTCCTTGGTCTTTTTCCAAATCCACTGACAAGACCCCCACCCCAGCTCATGTTGGCTGCTTACCACGGGCATGCGCAGTTGGTGAAGCTCCTCATCCAGCACGGAGCTGACCCTAATCGTCTGAACGATAGAGGGCAAAGTCCTTTGGCGGGAGCTGTATTCAAGCAAGAAGACGCAGTCATCGAGGTAAGAGCCTTGCCGCCCTTCCCAAATGAGAGATGCAACTTGATTTTTCGATCATTGTCTCTTCTGTATAAGTGACAAGCTGATGCTCCTGAATCAGGTTCTTCTCGAGAATGGGGCAGATCCAGACTACGGCAACCCGAGTGCACTGCAATGTGTCGTTATGTTTAAGCAAGAAGACAAGTGGCAAACCAAGTTTGAGTCTGCGTCTGGAAGAGGCAAAGCCACTGCATAACAAAGCTCCATGTCCAGGTCTCAGCGATGCTGGCTCTCGGCATACCAAAGTATTAAAATCGTTCCATTGCTTAACGAAGTAGAGAAGAGAACCCTACACAGGCCAAAATAAATCATCTAATAAGAAGACTTCTGCTGCTGTTGGGCTTGCTACAGAAACTGCCTAAGATATGCTGGCTAGAGACGTATCTCCATATGGTGACGGTGAAGCTTACATTAATGTAGGCTCTGCCATGTACCACAGAACAGGTGACACTTGCTGTACCTGTTGCCGTGGGAGTGTTACATCCAGACCTTCTAAGCATAACAATGCACGGAATATGGTGTGTCCTCTGTAACAAAACCCACGTCCTTTCCGCCTTCGCCTCCTGGGACGTAGCCGAGCCCGTATGATGTTCTGCTGCAATGTTACAAGCCATTAAGGGATCCCATATAAAGACACGCTTCTCTATTGGTTGATTTGGAGCATATATTGATGAGAGTCAATGCGGTATGACGTTCGATAATTCCTCTATTGTTCCAAAAGCCGCCATGTAGCTATGATAAACGATGCCATTCATATGTTCCTGACCTGCCGTTTTCAAAGGAAGCTGCCTCTGGCGCTATGCCAGAATCATGTTCTGTGTACGAAGGCAATTGTATAGGTGCCAGTGTCAGCTGCTCTCAAAAGTAACATACAGGTCGGTCATATTAACTACAACTGGCAGTTTTAATGGATGTCTTGAAAATTCCATTTTAAGGGTCTTGATACAGTTATCTTGCTGGCTATCGGAGTTACTTATGAGTTTGCTATGTGTTAAACATTCGGCAAGGGAGAGATTTGGTGGTGGCGCGAAGTTGTACGAGCACAAATGATCAATAAGAAGAGCCGCGCGGCAGTTGTATCATGACAAAAAAAGGGCTGGCAGTCCCTAGCCATCCCGCAGTACCTTAGAGAAATGGTCCCTAGGGATGCCGAATTCTTTCAAAGACTCGCACATTTTCTCCCTGCAGGTTTTTAATAGGAGGACAAAGTTTTCTAAGTAAGGGGACTCCGCTTGGGTTCTTCTTATTGGCGTTTGTTTGAGATCAGAACAGTTTGCCATGTATCATTCACTTCATTTGATGAATCAAAGCTTCTCGACAAGATGGATTGATTTAAAGATGAGACAAATTCCGTTCTGATATTACCTATTCGCTTTTCAGCAGGTTGATATCAACACCACAAGGCCTCGGACGAGCTCATCACGGTATTCGTCAATCATAGCCCGAAGCCTTGGTATCCGAGAACATGAAATTTTCAGCCCTAGCCAACGCCTCCTTCATCCTGCTGAGCCTCGTTGGCCCAGTCTCCGCTAGCTCGCGCTGCCTGCGGCGAAGACGTAGCGGACATATTTCCCACCGGATCACGGTGGAAGATGTGGGTTCGGAAAACATCGAGACGGTATGCAAATCGCTCTGGGATAACCTCAAACGACACCCCGCTTGCATGGTCTTCAGACCCAATGGATGCGAGGAGGCCGCCTACAAGGGCGACCTTAGCTGGCACTTCACGACCGCCCTTGCCTGCAACGCCGGAATGGTGCACTCGGCCTTTTACGAAGCCACAAACAACCGTTGGGGTGCCATAAGGTGTCAATGAGGACCCCTGTAGGCCATCGATGAGTGTGGCCTTGATAGGCAGGGCAACCGCAAAGCCTTTGCCACATCGATCGCTACGGGATGTGCGGCAAAGACAAAGATGGATTTCCGACCGGGGAACTTGGGCTGAGGAGAGGGTGACTTGGGGCATAGGCTGTAAGATGCCTCGGACGGTTAAGTATCCATAGATGACAATTTTCAAAGAATCTCTATTAGGTACGATATCCCATCATTGTAGACCCTTCTACAGGAAGGTGTTTGGCTTCAATCCACTCTCAACCGGGGAGCGGGGGTTCTTTCGAGCACTTCATCTAGTGACCCGCAATCCATTGGACCGTAATCGAGATTGACCGAATACATCCAGGCATCCCGAACCCAGGTACGCCTGCAAGACACGGCAGTGTGCAATATGATCTCGATCCCTTGCGGGATAGGTCTGCATCTATATTCCTTGGGATCGTACGGACATTGTCTCCTCCAAGATATGTTGATTATAAAATCTCGACAGACTTTGACCATCTTATCTGGCGGGACAGCAGAGAGAATGTAGTACTCCAAGCCGGCGGTGTTGTTGTCGGCCCCGACGAGGTTTTCGCGCCAGCAGTATGTGACTGGTCGTGGGTTATGAGGATTGACTTTGATCACAGGAGGCGTTGTCCGCATGGCACCGAGGACGGTTGTGGCCAGGGCTAGTATTGGCGCTGCAATGCTTGCGAATTTCATGACCGATAGATTCCGAGGAAGAAAGCGAGCGAGGATGATGAGTGTCCGGATCGTAGGGGGGAGGAAACATGGTTATACATGAAGATGTTGCCAAGTAGGTTGCAATCAGACTCGGCAAATGGCCGTGTCTCAAGATTATATAGCACCGGATTTGAGGATAGACAGGTTCCGTGAACCACACAAAATGAAACCACCTTGTGAACGCCATGTCGACCTTGAGTGCCCATAATGGCAAGCGATTAAGTTCATCCAACGAAGCGATACAGGGGTGTTTAGATCTCCAGCTTAGCCTAGCCTGTCAATAACGCCACAGGAACTGATAAGTAAAAGAGGTGCGGGAACAGTTGACGGCAATTCGAGAACAAACCTCCAAAATCAGTGGTTCGTCCTGCGGCCGTAGAATCAGATCCACAGAACAAGCTGCGTAGCTCCCAAGTTTCGATTGCTGATTGATTCACACCTTTTCATTTTTCAGAGGAGTTTAGGCCGGTAATATTCCCACTCGTTCTTTCTCCTTGTTCGAGATTTTATAGACACAGTGTCCCGCACTTATCTGCTTCTTAAACCCCTTTACCCTGCCTCTGGTCTACATCCGCCCTCACTCTAGTGTTCAAGGTAAATAATCGTCGGAGCCCTCCAAACGACGGACACATACTTGAATGTTTTACTCGGCTACAGCACCATAAAACCTTTCGATATGAGCGGATACTACGGTGAGTCTGCAGGTTACTACCTGCCTAGAGACGAGTATGCGGACTACTATATATACCCGCCTGTAAACGAGTCTGCAGGTAACTACTACCCGCCAAGAAACGAGCCAGTGGTCTATCACTATCGCCCTCGTGCAAACGAGATCGCTTTGCCTGTGGTGAGCCGGCTTTCTCAGCAACGGGAAGTCCTACCCGAGCCCAACTATCGTCCGTTTCGTTCGTGCCCGGTGCCGGGCGTCTCACCTGCGGAACCTCGCGTTTCAACTTCTGGAGATGGCATCCATTTGCCCCGACTAGATGACACACCGCCCCCCCAGCTGGCACGGGCGGGCGCGTTTCTATTGAGACCGGTCCAAGAACTTATCAGAGACGTCGACGACCATTTTGGGCCGCCATGGAACCAACGGTCGCGAAGCGGGGTGGTGAATTTCCAGGGACCCGGCAGTCGTGCCCCTACTGGAGGAGACGACGTCGATTGTTTCGGACGACTTGAGGGGGCCACCTCTTTCATCCACAGGGTGTTTTTACACCGGAACGAAGATCCGGGAACGTTTTATGGCATGGGCGACGGCAGCATGGTCTACGAATCGGAAACCATCAACGGGCGGGTTGTTAACTACCGCGACGCCGGACCGCCTACGTTCCAGTGGGACGAGGTTCGACCAGAAGCCGGGCACGGCTGGGCTGGTCACGCCATTTACGCCGCTTACAACGACGAGATTAAGGAACAGGAAGAAGTGCCGGACGACAACGAGTGGTCCAGGTCCCTCAGAGAGGTCGAGTCGCACTATGTTTTGTACGAACAATGGCATAACCAGAACCCTCCGCCCGAGTCACACGATGAGAACCGACAGGATCTGCGGGCTGCTGCAGGCGGCGAGGCGACTCGTTAGGTGAGAAATCATACATCATGTTCGAAAGCTCCTCTGCAATCAAGGCAGTAGCCCCTGATCCAAGGATGGGGCGGATTATCAACGGGTCCATCCCCGTAAACTTCCCGGGGGCAATCGTGGCAGTTTTGGAAACCATCGAGGACCGTACAGCTACTGCCAAAGAGTCCGATTTAATATTGGTCCGATGTACAGTGGGCGTCCTTATACAATAGACTCTCAACGGGACTCACAGGGTCCTGCATGAGTCGTTCTGATGGGGCGATAATCGACGCTTCATTCTTGGATCACCCTCCTTGAATCTTTAGTATTGGACGAGGAATGCCGTAAGTAGTCCACGCTCTGAACTTCTGGAGCTAGCTGGCAAACCATAACAGCATTCATACTCATGCACTGACCCGACAGATGATAGCGTCAACGCGCTTCAATAGCCTCGTATTGCATTTTCGTCAATACGCTTAACCCAAGTCTGATTTGCATAGAATAACAACTGCAACATGAAGATCATCAGTGCAAGATGTCAGAAGGTGGAACCGGCGCATCGCTCGTCGTATGCGTGGCTGACAGGCATTGATGATTGGGATATATCGCGCGGGATTGGTGTGGTATGATATGGCATTAAACAGCTTTTACATCCTCAGGGACGTTTAAACTCAACTTGAACAACTGGCTTCCAACGATCGATGCCAATTCCGAGTGTGGCCAAGCCCGCCAGTGAGCAGCGAGATACCGTTATGCATAGTGTGGGACACGTGCTGATGATCTTTATGCTGCATATTGCATTACCCCAACTCTAACTTCAAACAAATGCGCCCCCTAATTACTTCGGCTCCATGTGAAAGCGGCGACTGTCCATTGAACCCCGATCAGCTCACCTGCTCAGCAGTTCCTCCAGCCTCTCCAGCGCGTCCCTCTCCACCTCCTCCATCGGCGGCTGCACGTCGATACCAACGACGTCGGCCTCGTCCTCCTGTGGCGGGTCCAGGCTCTGGAACTGGCTGTGCACGAGATTGGCGCCGGCAAAGTGGCCGTGCCTATTCTTGACGCGCTCGAACAGCACATCCTCGGGGGCGTGGAGGGTCACGAAGTTGACAAAGATGTCCTTCTCCGGATGGGAGGCGCCGCGCAGGACGTCGCGGTAGGCCCGCTTCAGCGCGGAGCAGGCCACGACGACACCGCGCAGGCCGTCGCTCTCCAGCTCGCGGAGGGCCTCGTCGCGGAGGCTGTCGAGCCAGCCCCAGCGGTCGTCGTCGGTGAGGGCCTCGCCCCTGTGCATCTTTTCCACGTTTTCTTTGGGGTGGTACTGGGCGGTGGCGGTGGTGTCAGTGTCATTGCGTCCATGCGCCCGTGCTTGAAGTCTGGTTGGTTTAGCTGGCTAGGGGGGGGGAGGGGGCACAGACATCGTCGCCCTCGATGAAGTTCATGTGGAGGGATTCTGTGAGATACTTTGCTATGGTGGTCTTGCCGGACCCCGTTGGCCCCGTCAGGAAGACTATGTGCTGTTTCGGGCGCGACATGTTTGGGGGCCTTGCAAGCAGCAGACGTGTTGATGTCTTGAAATGGCTTCCCCAACCTCAGTGACGCCCATCCGCCGCGTTCTTCTTGTTGCGTTTCTGTTGTGTGGGCGGTTTGCTGGATGTCGTTCGGATGATGTCATGCGGCGGACCTAGCAGCGGGACGTTTCGACCGAGCCATAATCGTTCGTGCCATGTTCCCTCCCTTTTCATTCAATGATAGCCGGGACGAACGGGTCGGACATTACATAACGGGACGGTATTGGCGGAAAAGCCAGCAAGCGGCGCGGGCACATGTAGGACCGTTCAGAAAGCTTGCCCATGTCGAAGAACACGGCGGCAGCCACATGTGAGCAAACGGCATGGATGGCAGCATTAAAACCGTCTAGTCCGGCATAAAGACTCGTACCCCTCGTGTTCTCTCGGAAAGAAACAAATAAGCGACTCGTCTCTGTGAAATGCCATTTCAGTTTGCCAAAGTCTGTCTTCCCGGCTGTCCCGAATTCTTTCTATGGCGATCAATCATCAATTCGTAGACAGACACAAGTCAAAGACGATTAATGCTTGGAAACAACCGTTGACAGCCGGCAGCAGGCGGGTGAATGAGTAAGCAATATGGGCTACCAATGGACAGGTTCGAATGCAGCATCATCATTAGGCGCCGGTCTATTAGTCTAGTTGGTTAGGACGTCGGATTCTGACCATTCACAGTCACTTCCGTAAGCCCAGGTTCGAATCCTGGATGGACCTACATCTTTTGCCTTCACCATCACCAAACCAATCTTTTTCGGTGCTTTACAGTTGATATCCATTTCGCACGATTCACCACGGAGTATCTTAGTGACCCATCCGAGTCTAGGTCAGTTGATTCGTTCCACCAAAGCCGGGTTGTTGCACCTGTTCTTTTGTGCGGGATACGCCTCATTGACGGACTGGACGGTTTACATACATTGCACCAAACAAAACATGCAGTCGCGCACCGACAGGGTCCCTCGGCGTGAAACCCACTCAGCCCATCCCCGAACATGGGAGGAACAGCATCATCGTCGTCTCGTATTCTCCCGTTTAGCCTTTTTTGTTTCTTTTTCTTTTTTCTTTTGTTTTTCGGTCCAGTAATCTGACGTTGAGGCTGATTTCCCGATGGACGGACAGAAGGATGTACGTGTGTCCATCAGAAAAGTCTAGCCGTATCGCACATCCCCAGCGCCCTCGCGGAACCAGTCATCCGCCGCCAGCGCTTCCTCGGGGCTCGCGTAGCTGATGATGGTGCTCTTCGTCGTCGTGTACGCGTGGTACGCATCGATGCCGTTCTCGCTGCCGACGCCGCTCGCGCTCTTCGCGCCACCCCACGGACTGCTGGGGTCGTTTCGATGGTGCGTGTTCACCCACACGATGCCCGCGTCAATCTGCTCCGACACTCGAAACGCCTGCGCCACGTCGCGCGTCCAGATGCCCGCCCCCAGCCCGAATTCGCTGTCGTTGGCGAGCGCGATGGCCTCCGCCTCTGTCTTGAAGGGCGCCACCACCACCACCGGCCCAAACGCCTCCTCGCGCCAGATGCGCGTCTTGAGGATGTCGCCCTCGGCACTCGACACCAGCACCGTCGGCTCGAAGAAGTAGCCCCTGGAGAAGTCGGTGCCGTCGATGCTGCTCGTCCCAGACATGCGACGGCCGCCCGCGAAGGCTGAGCCCTCTGCGGCAAGCGCCTCGTTGACGAGCGCCTCCACATTCTGTAACTGCTTAGCCGAGACCAGGGGTCCCATCATGGACTCCCCGTTGCTCGGGGACCCCATCCGTCGCGCGATGGACTCGGCCTTGGCCCTGAGCTTCTCCAGCACGGGCTGCAGGATCGTGTCCTGGACGAGGATCCTCGTGCTGGCGACGCACGTCTGGCCGCTGGCGATGAAGGATCCGAATGCGATGCCATTGACGGCAACGTCCATGTCGGCCTGCTCAAACACCACCAGCGGCGCCTTGCCCCCCAGCTCCGCCGTGTAGCGCGCCAGGTTGCCGCCGACGATGGACCCAATCGCCCTGCCCGCCGCTGTGCCGCCCGTGACGTCGACCTTGCGGACGAGCGGGTGCTCGACGAGGGACCTGCCCGTCGTCGCACCGTAGCCCGGGAGGACGCTGAAGGCGCCGTCGGGCACGCCCGCCCGCTTCAGGATGCCGCCGAGCAGCAGGGTCGTGAGGGGCGTCAGCTCGCTGGGCTTCACCACGACGCTGTTGCCGGCCGCCAGCGCGGGGGCCACCTTCTTGACGGCGATGAGCAGCGGGTGGTTGAAGGGGGTGATCTGCACGACGACACCAAGGGGCACACGGTCGATCCAGTTGTGCAGCTTGCCCACGGTCGGCAGCACGGCACGCTCCTCGGTGCGCAGCAGGGCGGCGTAGTACTTGAACCACTTGACCAGCGTGGGCACCTGGGCGCGCATCTCGCGTATCGCGCGTCCGGTCTGGCGCACCTCGAGGGGGATCAGCGAGGCCAGCTCCGCGGTGAGAAGCTCCGCCGCCTTGTCGAGGACATGGGCGCGAGCATGACGGGGCAGTTTGGACCACGTCCCGGCCTTGAAGGTCTCGTGCGCAAGACGGATGGCCTCGTCAACGTCTTGGAGGGATGCTGCGTGACAGCTGCATGAAGCAGTTAGATGTCACTCGAACAAGAATGGACGGCGGATGGGGTCCGAGAGCTGATGGCTTAGAGGGAGGGGAGGGGGGCTGTCAACTTACTGGGCAAAGATGTCACCCGTCGCGGGGTCCTCAACCGGAATCCTGATGCAGTGTGAGAAGTCGATCGTGAAGCATGAGCACAGATAAGCGTCCTGCACCCCTCGCTGCGGGGGGAGGAATCAAGAGGAGGGCACGAACTGTTCTGCATGTCCCGGTTTCTCCTGGCCGCCGACCCAGAGGTTGTACGTCTGGACTGTCATCTTGTCTCTTGTGCAGCTGTCACTGACTTTTTTTCTTTTCTTTTTCTTCCTTCTTCTTTCGTATGTGAAGGATACCACCAGTACAGCACCTTTGTCTTGCGATTTGCCATTCGGGGTCGAGTTAATTTATGTTATATTCCTGAAATCCTACATAACTGCGGGGGGGGGGGGAAAGATAGCGCTCACCGGCCGGCTCCGTGTGCCCCTCCCCCCACTCTGAAGGTCTCCTTTCCCCGCCCCTCGCCCCTCCGGCGAGATAACAGACTCGCCATGGTTCCGGAGTTGGTAGTCGCATTTTGTCAACGCAATCTCGTAACACGCGACGCAGAATCACAGACAGGGATCAGCGTCTAAATGCGAAGCGTGTTTAAGCTTCGCGGCCTGCAAAGACCAGCATCTGCCTAGTGCTTGCTTTGGTTCCTTTTGCCAAGCTAGGAACGGATGGGGGCAGCAAACCCCTGCCTTGCCTCTGCCACCGTCCGCTAAGCCTCGATTGAGGCTGAACACGGATGCAAAGCTGCAAAGTGGTGAGTTGTAGCAGCAGCAGCAGCAGCAGCAGTAGCAAGAGTAGTAGCAAGAGTAGTAGCAAGAGTAGCAGTAGCAGCAGTAGTAGCTACACTTCAAGGGGGTACCATCTCGCTCGGCTTCGAGGGTACAAAGCGCACATGCTCTCTCTCGACGACCCATGTTTCTCGGTCCTGCAGGCAAAACGCAATGAACCCATCAGGGAACTGGAGCGGCCGTCAGCTCAGACTTTTACCTCAAACCTACAGGAAACCCCCTTTCTGTCATTGCAAAAAGCAGACGGTTGCAAAAAAAAAAAAGAGGCATGCACAGCTGCTGCCATTGAACCTAGGCCCAAGTTCGGCCGGATCGCGTCGTCGTCCATCATGCCATATAAGCCGGCATCCGAACAACTCTACCCATTGGAACCCCCCCCCCCCCTCCCCCCCTTCTCCCAGTGAGCGATGCCAGCTATTTGAGAATTTCTGTTAAACGGCCGGGTTGATTCCCCCCCCTTCCCATTTCTTGCTCTGGTCCGCGGCTGGAAAGAAAAAAGAGTCTCGATCTAGCTAGAGCTCATTGTAAGCCAACAGCAGCGACGCCCCTGATACCCCCCCATTTTCTTCTTTTCTTCTTTCCCCCCCCCCAGTCTTGTTTCCAAATAACTGCCCATCATGGACTACATGCGCTCTCTTGTCGGCGCCAACACGAAGAAGATCCAGGTGCCCAAGGTGGCAACGGACGATGTCTACCCGGTCCACTTCTTCGACGATACGAAGCCCTTCCGCGAGATGCTCCTGAACTGGACCCTCCGGTTCGACGATGTCCTCGACGCCGAGAAACTTCATCTCTCGCTCGCCAAACTCCTGGATATCGGAGACTGGAGGAAGCTCGCTGGACGCATGCGGTTGACCGTGAGTGTTTCCGCCCACCAGCCCGTTTCCCTCCTTTTCTCTCCTTTTTCTTCTTCTTTTTTTTCTAGAAGAAATCCCAACTAACACGGGTCGCCCGCTCAGAAAGACAACAAACTCGAGCTTCACGTCCCGCACAAGTTCACACCAGCCCGCCCCGCCGTCCGCTTCTCCCACGTGGTCCACAACATGAGCATTACGGAGCACAAGCACGCCAAGAACATGCCCAGGACCACCACCACCCCGTCCATCCAGCCCGGTGTCGTCAACTTCTACAGTCTCGGCGCGCGCGAGGGCGCCCCCCGCACGCTCGAGGACCTCATCTCCTCGGACGAGCCCGGCATCGCCCTGCACGTCGTCTCCTTCAACGACGCCACCCTCGTCGGCCTCCTCTTCTCTCACGTCCTCTTCGGCGCCGCCGGCATGCAGGCCCTCGTCGAGGCCTGGTCCCAGGTCCTCGCCGGCCGCGAGGCCGAGGTCCCCGTCCTCCATGGCGCCCGCAGGGACATCCTCGACGATGTCGGCGTCGACACGGACCCGGAAAAGGAGAAGTTATTGCTCGACCGCCGCGTGCTCAAGGGATTCCGCCACTTCCGCTTCAGCCTGCGCTTCCTCTGGGACATTATGCGCCGCCCCGAGATCGAGTCCAAGATCCTCTGCCTGCCCGGCGACTTCGTTGCCAACCTCCGCTCCCAGGCCATGGCCGACCTGCACGCCATGGACGAGAAGGGCATGGGCACCGGCGAGGCCCCTTTCGTCAGCGAGGGCGACGTCCTGACCGCCTGGTGGACCCGCATCGTCTGTCTAGCCCGCGGCTCCAACCGTCCCGTCACCGTCCTCAACGCCGTCGACATCACCGGCCGTCTCAAGGGCGTCTTCGCCCCCGGAAAGCTCTACGTCCAGAACTTCGCCCTCGGCACCTGGACCCTCCTCAGCTCCGCCGAGGTCCTCAAGGCGCCCCTCGGCTACGTCGCCCGCTGCTTCCGCTACGACATCCAGACCCAGACCACCCCGTCCCAGCTCATGGCCTTCATGCGCCGCATCCGCCAGCGCGGCCGCTGCAAGACGCAGCCCCTCTACGGCGACCCCAACAGCATGCTCATCATCTTCACCAACTGGTCCCGCTGCAAGTTCTTCGACTGCATCGACTTCGCCCCGGCCGTCATCCCCAGCATCAACCCCATCGCGGAACTGCCCGCGGCTTCCGAAAACACCCAGCCAAACAGCGACGACTCCATCACCAGCGACGGCATCAGCAACGGCGGCGCCGACCTGGAGAAGCAGGCCAACAACGCCAGCATCGCCCAGGTGCTGAGCCGCCCGCCGCCCGGCAAGATCTCCTACCACCACTCCATGACCCGCACCCGCACCATCCTCTCTCGCAACGTCTTCACCATCCTCGGCAAGGACCTCAACGGCAACTACTGGGTCTCGGCCCTGGGACACCCCGAGTGCTGGGACAAGCTCGAGAAGGAGGTTGAAATCTCCTCCATGGACAACTTGAGGCGGCTCCGCCCCGAGACGACACAGTAAAGAGGAGAGGAGAAGGTGGTGTTGAAGGGGCTCCCTCCATCTCCCCATTTGCGGCCCTCTGACGCGGTTTTTCTAATCTCCTGCGCAATTGTTTTTTTTTTTCCAAAGCGTCACCGGCTGTGTGGTTCGGGTTGTCTAGGGCTATTTATTAACCCTTCTGGCTTGGCTTGCTCTGAACGATTGATGTGGTGAGGGTGGGCAGACGATGAGTGCAAGTGAAGGAGTAGGAGGGAAAGAGAACGTAGGTTAGTTGGTGTACTATATCCAGATTGTACTGCCAGGGATGCGCAATGAAAGAAAGCAACTTCATGACGACACTTCATGCCTCTGTTGATATTACAGGAACCAAGATGAGTATACACGTATCATTGGCGATTGGTAATGATCGTGAGTGATTGACGTTGTTGTTGAATGCCATACAAGGTGGGCAAGTAGGCAGTAGTAGTAGTAAGGTGATGAAGGTGAGGGTTTTGTGCCGGGTGATGGATACCGTGTCTCACTTCGCCGCACCTTCTATATCCCAACAATATCACTTGGACAGGCAGAGACACGTCGCACCAAACAATATTGCTAAAAACATGTGCTATGTCGTTCCTATGAGTCTGTTGCCATGACATACGAAATGTGCAAAGTACGATCTACACTGGTATCAAAATCTAACATAACTGCAACATCAAGCTTGGTATCACAAATGATTCAGAGATGCTGTAACAGAAACAAAAAAACAGGAAAGAGGAAAAGCGGAGAAAAGAAAAAGGGGGGGAACCATATGCCTTGCATGCCATTATCCGACTCCATGCCCAACTCTCTCTCATCTTCGTCAGTCATCAAGGGCCCAATGGCATCTTAGTCGTCCATGAAGAACCTGACAATCTCCTTGAGATCAAACAGTGTGACACCGCGGCGCGGGTAGCAAATGTACACCTGCTCGCCCAAGACGCCAAACTTGTCTCTGAACTCGGCCTTTTTGCCGAGACCGAGGCTCTTGACGATACCGGCGTACATCTTGCTCAGAAACTTGGCCCGAACGCCGTGTAGGTGCTCACCGGGCACCAACCTGTCACTGACGCCGGCTCCAAAGGTCACAGGGCCCGAGATGCACGACAAAGCGTACTCGACAAGCACCTCGATGGTGCCGTTCGGTGCGTCAGGGAAGTCTAGCGCCCACTTGACTTGCCAGCCGTATCTGGGGGCGAGCTGTGCGAGTACAACCATGCACAAGACCTTGCCGTCCTTCTCGGCGGCAAAGTAGCGGCGGTGTGCCTGGTCGATCCAAGGACGAATCTCCGTAAGGTGCACCTGCTTCTTTGACTTGCGTTTCTCCTTCCATGCCTCGATGGCCTGATCGGTACGCTTCATAAAATCCTCGTTAGGTTTGACCTCGTGGATCTTGATGCCCTCCCTCTTGACGCGTCTGGCGGCACGGCCGTCGGGTGTGGTGTGCTGGTCCGCATCCGCCCGCTGCTCCACGGTGCAGCTCAAGGTTCGCCAGCCGATGCGGCGTCCGAGAAGCTCCTGCACCTTGTTGGATACCAGCATCCATACAGGAGTCAATTTAAGATCCTTGGTGACAAACTCAACAAAGGCTGGAACAACCTCTTCGTATTGACCCCGGTCGCAGAGAGGGTCTCCAGTAATCATTGCAAATTTGCCCTGTTTGACATATCCAACTGCAGCACCACTGCCGTGGCGCCAAATCTCAAACCTCTCATCGAGCCACGAGGTGTTCGTGGCGTCTCCGTAGTTGGCAATCAACTCCTCCAAGGGAGGTAGCTCCTTTCCGGCCCATGCCTTGGTGGTGTCGGCGCTTGGGTGCGGCAGGGTGAACGACCGCGATGGCAAAGACTTGGGGTCGCGGTAGAAGAGGGTGCCGTATCTGACATCTCCCAAGTTGAGGAGAAGGAATACGACACGGTCCAATCCTAGACCGGCACCGCCGTGTGGCGGAGCACCTAGATCGAAAGCCTCGAGATATTCGGCCATGTCGTCCTCCGAAATGCCCTTTTCGGCCATGTTCTTTCGCAGTTCCTTGGGATCGTTGATACGCTGGCCACCAGTGCAGATCTCCTGGCCACGGACAAAGATGTCGAACGAGTTGGTCCAGAAGGGGTCATCGGCTTTGTGGGTATAAAAGGGGCGAGCGTTGGCGGGGAACTTGTCCAGGATGTAATAGTCGGTACCGTACTTTTCTTTGACCAATTCTCCCAGGCGGATCTCGTCGGGCGTCGAGAGGTCCTCGTCCTCAACGTCGCGGCCGTCGTCACGCAGCATTTGCAGACCGTCGCGGAACGAGATGATGGGTGTCTCGTCAAGCCAGACAAGGTCATCACTAGGGAAGCGCTCACGGATGATCTTGAGCTCGGGCATAGAATGAACAGCCGCGAAGATGTTCTTCAAAGTCTGGTCGAGAACTTTGATGATCTCGTGGTAGTGCTTCTGAATCTTCATTTCGATGTCGAGGCCGGTGTACTCGGTCAAATGACGGTGAGTGTTTGAGTTCTCTGCACGAAACACGGGGCCAATCTGCACATATGTCAGCACCAGTTCACTTGCACGGGATGGGCTTCGTGTTACTTACTTCGTACACCTTGCCAAAGTCGGCAGATATAGTCATCTGCTTAGCTAACTGGGGGCTCTGTGCCAAAAAGGCACGCCTTCCAAAATAGTTGAGCTTGAACACTTCGGCGCCACTCTCGGTAGCGGCGGGCTGCAACTTGGGGGTCTGAATCTCGATGAAGCCGCTGTTGTCGAGGGTCTCACGGAACTGGCGTGTAATCATGGCGCGCACACGGAACAGCGCCTGGTTGCTGGGGTGTCGCAAGTCAAGGATACGGTTGTTCAACCTGAAGTTCATGCTGTCTGGAGGCATGTAGTTGCTAAATGGCGGCGCCTTGGCCGGGTTGAGAAGGTGGATCGAGTAAATGTCCACCTCGACATCGTGGTAGTGTGCCGACTTGACGTCTTGGACAGGTTTCTTCAAGGTGCCGGATACCTGTACAATGGACTCTGGGTGCAGGTGCTGAACCCATTTGACCATGTTGGGGGTGGCGTGGGCGAGGACTCCCTGAACGGTGTCCGTCTGGTCGCGGAAGAGGAGAAAGTCGAGATGCTTTGAAATGTTCCTCTGGGTATGTATTCTCGCGCGGAACGTCACCTTGGTTCCAATGTCCAGCTTGACGGCCTCGCCGATAGTGGTCAGCTCGGTCGGATACTCGCCCTCGTCGCCCTCGCCATAGCGCGCTCGGGTCTCTTCATCCTCAGCGCGGCGGCCTTCTTCGTACTCGCTTCGGCGGCGTTCTTGGAGCTGGCGCTCTTCTTCCTGCCGGCGTTGCAGCTTCTCGCCGCGTTCCTGGCGCCTGATCTCGCCGCTCCTTACCGGGCTGCGTCCTGTACTAGACTTGCTGGACTGGCTGGTGGAGCTCGAGATGGGCGATTTCTTCTCGAAGACGGTCGTCCTTGTGCGCGTGGAAACGGTTGGGCTAGATGGTGGTGACTTCAGGGGCGAGGTGAACTTCTGGGCAAGGCGCGAGAGAGTGCTCGGTGAGCGTGACACTGCTTCCTGTTGGGTCATGGTGGTATGACCTCCCCTTGGCAAGGGCTAGGTGATGATGTATTTTTGTGTGTGTATTATACTAGATTGGTTGGGAGATTTGCACATGTGCAATGGATGAGGAAGATGTGACGGGGTCGGTGAGTTTGCCAAGACGATTTTACATAGAGAAGGGGAGGGGGGAAGAGGGTAGATGAATACAGGAACAGGGTATAAGAAGAAAAGACTCGGAGTGAGGAAACATGAGTTCGGGTTCCGTCAAGGTCCGTGGGTCCCTTGGCAGAACAAGTGGATGTCACAATGTAAGGTAGGTAGTTCCTTTGCTTCCTCGAGTTGGGTGTCGTGTGTCAGTGACTTGGCAATAGGTACGCCGAGGATGGAGAAATGCCCCGATTGATAGGACGAAGCCCGGGACACGCGGGCAGTTAGTGACTCAACGACCGAGGTTCCAGGCTGGGGAGCTTGGAATAGGTACGTACGACAAGCAAGCCACAGGTAGGGGCAGGAAAGCCAAGTCGGCATGTATCTTGTACCAAGAGACTTGGAATTACCTCACCTTACTCTCACCTCTGAAAAGCTTGGTCGGCGGGTGATTTTCATCCCCTCCCACCACCTTGCATCTTGGCGCTGCTACCTACTACCTAGGTAAGGAGAAAAGGGTTGCTGAAACCACCATATGGTATCGCATTGGATCGGATCGCATCGGATCGCATCGGGCAGGTGAGGACAGTGACGATTAAACTTTGTGACTCCTAGACCGGCCGTGAACCAGCTTCGTCCATCTTTCCACATTGTTCTCCCATCGTAGCTTCCTCCGTCTCCTCTGTGTGTTGGACCGTGTGGTGTCAAGGAAACGTCATTGGCTTGTGGGGCAAAGATGCGTCTGTGTCCCCCCCCCCCCCACCTGACCCACGGTACCTGGCAAGGCCGGCAAGGTCACGGACGTTGGAGCGGAGAGCGGAGCTTGTGAATGGCCGAGAGGACCTGCTGATGTAGGTGCACAACAAACAGAGTGGTTACTCGTGGACATTTTGCTCCGGGGGGCCCGGATGCTGGAGGCAGGTCCACTCCTTCCCGTGTTCGATCCAACCTGTTGGGTGAACCCCGGGAGAAAAAGAACCAGAGAAGGGAAGGAGTAAAGAAATAAACAAACAAACAAACAAAAGAATAATAGAAATAGGAATAAAGTACTCCGTAGAAGAGAGAGGGAGAAAAAAGCCCAGCCTCAAAAGATGGCCCAAATGGACGAGGGTGCACTCTGTGGTACCTACAGGATCGTACCTACCTACATCGTAGTTAGTGAGTGTATCCGTAGCAAAGCATGACATGATATTTCTCGCATCGTCTGGAAACCGCGGCATCTTGAGTTGCTGCTTCCCTAAAAAGAGAAAGTGGTTCCACTACTAACTCAGCTCCGCTCACATCCCGGAAGCTGCGGCCCCGCCCTAGCCGCATGCCCCTGCTCTCTGCTATCTGCGAGGCCAGAAGCGCCTCAAGTGTGACGTCAAACGAACTCGGCACAGAGTTGGGTACTTGTACACCAGCCACCGTGGCATCCCCTCCTCACCTTTGACACCGCCCTGACCTCACTTCGAGGCAACGGGTAATGAGCAAAAAGAATCAATCACAAACCTCAACACTGTAGGTCATCAAATATGTACCTATCGTCTGGTGGCCGAATTATGACATCTTGTCTCGTCTCAGTCCCTCCGCCTTTGCAGGCCGCCCGTTTTGGCCTCGGCTGATGTCTCGCTATTCCTCTCTACTCCTTCCGCCTTTGTCATTGTGTTGTCTAACGTCGAGAAAAACGTGTCTTTGTCCTTCTGATTTTAACACAAAAACTAACATTATGCCTAGGTACATCATGGCTGTGCCATAAACCACCAGCCACAGGTGGTTGATTACGGTACCCCCATTTCATCAGCCACACTACCTCCCCTAGACACCTAACTGCCGGCACACACACACACGCACACACACCACATCTCCCCTCTCCCACCCTCCCTCACCAAGCAAGGTACGCCCTGCCAAGCAAAGGCTACTTGGACATCAACAACAACTGACGCCATCGGCTGAGCCACTCGGAATCCTTGGGGCAATCTCAGTCATATCTTTTTCTCACACTACACGTGTGCCTGCCCAACTGCCTGACAACTTACCTACCTACCTGCACGTCGACACCTCACATTTCCTTCCGTCCATCCATCCATTACTCGAGTTGTCACATCTTCGCCTCACTCCCCCGCCACCTAGTGTATTATCAACGGAGCTGATCCGGCATACCCGATATACAGATACCAAACAAACCACCACGTTCTGACCGCATTCGACCTACTACAGTAGTACACAACCTCGCTTGAGCATTAACCAAGACATACCCCGTTGACTGTTCAATTGCCAGCCTTTTTCATCCCGCTCGAGTCTGGCCTCCTGTGCGCGCTGTGTGTTGCGTATCCCGCATTCCGCACCCCGCACCCCGCAAACCCAATGCTGCAGGACAAACTCACCCGCACCCTGTCCAGCATATCAAATATTTCCAAAGGGAGCAAGAGCAGCAAAAAGGATAGCAAGGCTGCTAGCATTGCCGGCAGCATTGCCAGCAGCGTAGCCGGCACTCCCGACGATGAGTATGACAATCCACTAGAGAGCGTGGCTCGCTGGCGCCTGACCGCCAATGCCGTCGCCCTACGCTCGGGGGCCGCGTTCGCCTTCGGCCTGCAAAACCGCTCCTCTCCCGTCCCACCCGCTGCGAACAGGGTCATCTGGCTCGATTCCACCCTATCGGAGTGGAGCGGCAAGGAGAAGATCAAGGTTGACGTCTGGCTCCCACCCACCACCACTAGCACCAAGCCCACGGGCAAGGCCCCTGCACTTATCAATTTCCACGGCGGCGGGTTCGTCCTCGGTCAAGGGACCGACGATGCACGCTGGGCTGGTTCCGTGGCTTCCGCACTCAACGCCGTGGTTTTCTCCGTCAATTACCGTCTGGCCCCGGGCTATCCCTTCCCCACCCCGGTAGAGGACTCTGCCGACGCCATCCTGCAGATCGTCGCTCGTGCTGCAGAGTTCCGCATCGATACAGAAAAGGTGTTTCTCTCGGGATTCTCGGCTGGAGGCACTTTGGCCCTCGCCAGCTGGATCATCCTCCAGAACCCCGACAGGTGGAGCTATAAGTTCAGCATTCCAGTCCCCGACATCTCCGGTATCGTCCTTTTCTATCCCCTTTTGGACTGGACCATGACGAGGCCCCAGAAGCGGAACACGTGTGGAAGGCCTGACATGACTCTGCCTAAAAGCATGACCGATCTTTTTGATGCATCCTATGTATACCCGCCCCGCCCGAGGTCTGAACGCGGTGATCCCCGCCTCTCACCCGGTCTCATGACAGATGAGATGATCGATCAGCTGCCCCCTGTTCACCTATGCTTGTGCGAGTTCGACATGTTGCTACTGGAAGGCCAGAGCTTTGCTGAACGGGCCAGGTCTCGAGGTCGTCGGGTCAGCACACGTGTTGTCAAGGCCGAAAAGCATGCTTGGGATAAGCCTCCTCCGTTCACGCCCAAAGAATCGGTCATGGTCGAGTACAATGAGGCCATCACGGCTCTTAAGGAATGGTCAGAGAACCCTCATCCAAAGCTTGGATAAGTGCCGCAGGCCCCAGTCACAAGCCTCCCGGTACAGGTGGTCAGGGCACCATCAGCCTTCTCATTAACAACGTAAAAGAGGTTTCGGCCCAGAGTTCTGTATCAAAGAGGCTTTTTTCCAGGGCCTTGTCCACATGCAATCGCTGAAACTCCAAAGATGGTGGCTGCCCTTCCGCGTTGTGGGGTTTGAAGACCATCCAAGCAGGTTCCCGGCAGCAACATCGTCGACATCAAGCAACTGTGCGAGATGGAATTTTGGAAAGGGAGAGGCACCGATGATTGCATAGAAACAGGCACTGACCGCACTGTGCCAAAGGGTATTTTCTTCCTTTCTACATCATCATTATAAGCCACTCAATTCCAAACCCATCTTTTGGTCCCAATTCTTCTGCTCCGGCTGTGAGCCTATTTTCTGGAGCACACACTTTTTCACAGGCGACAGCCTGGGTTTGACCCGACGGGTACGTTCTCCGCCTCAGGGCTGTCTGGGCTGGGAAAGACGCCGTGACACTGCATCAGTGCGGCGCGGTGATCTCAGATAGCCTCAAAGTCAAACTCGCCGAGGAATTCCTGGGGGGGATATCTCTACAGGGATGCGACCAGCAACGGAAGACAGTTTCTTTCGTTTCGCCTAGCGATAAACTTCCCTATGACGATCTGCTACCGTGTACGGACGCTGTAATTCCGAAACCCCGACTTCCTGGTTGATTCTACAACGTGCAGTCTCTCCTGTTTGTCTGCGTTCGCGATTTGTCGGCGGCCAGGTTAGGTTTCGATCTGTTAGGTGAAATGCTGAATGAAAGCAGCAGCGGCCCAGGGCCCTTTTCGTCATCGATTCGGGAGCTACAGAATTCGCTACATGAAGCCTAGTTGATTACTATCTGGTGCCGATGAAATATACGAATAAATACAATGGATTCGAAGATAAATATCATGAGATACAAGAAAGCTTCGTGCCCTTCCTCGGACCTCAGCCACCATATCTCATTTCAGTTAGTTAACGTGGGGGCAGTTATATAATCATTGCTCCGGGCACCCAATATTGTCGTGACTTAGTTCATCATCTCCGTACTTGTGAAAGTGCCCTGCCCCCCCTTCCCCCCTTTGCCCGTGATCCGGTACTACTTTGACGATGCGAACAATATCTGCCACTTCGTATTCAGTACAGCCACCCATCTCGACGCTGTAAACTACCGACCACCCTACCGCCGGTCTTAAAATCAGGCCGCCAACCCTTCCCAGTTAGCCGTGGTCCCCACAGAAAACGCAGTCGAATCATCCATCGCACTTCAAGGAGTGGAACCTCGTGACGCCCGGAGAGCCATACGAATCCATTGTCAACGGTCACCACGGGTGGGTAGGAATCGAGAACTGGTAAGTATCTCTGAAATCGTACTATGCTAGTAGTTGGTTACCAGAACCTAACCCATGGCTTGTGCCATCATCCCAGTCTTCTTTGGAGCCCCAGCGGTTGGTTTCGGCTGCAAGGGGCTTTACCTATGTGCCTGTATTACTGCGTTTGCGTAGGCATTCAGCGACAAACGCAGATCTCCATCGGCTTCCGCATGCTTGTTCCCAACGCCACGGTCCCGCCTATGGTAATCCCGACATCCGTGGAGCTGCCGCCTGTCGACACAACCTTTGAGCCTGTCCCGGTACAGGGCCCGCTGCCTACAGACTGCGTGGAGTACTGCCAGATGCGCTCGGTCAGATAGAGCCGCCCCCATCCCATATACAAGTTTCAGCCTAGTGGCACTTGTTCTCTTGAACGAAAAACAGGCCGACACATGCCTCCAGGTCGCAGTAATGCATAAGAGCATCGCCGAATGTCAGTTCCTGGCTTGGTACCTGTTTCCGAACAGTGACTGCGACGACCTCTGGGCCGGTTCCTAATACTGCCTGGGATTCAGCAACGACATCCCAGAGCCGCCACCGGACAGCACGACTAGTATGCCGAGCGTGTCCTCAACGTCCACATCATCTAACCCGTAGCGACACCGACACCCGTCCAGGTAAGTAGACTCGGCTTCGTATACCCAACGGCAAAGGCGAGGGACATTTGTTTTTCTGACCGCAGCGTTGCATAGCCGGGCATGATCTAGGGGTGTCGTAAGCTGTATTTCGTGCAGACAGGTAACGGCTGCTGGACCATTGCCAACTCGGCGGGCTTCACATTGGAATAAGCACTGTTATCATTTCTGATGCTGCATCCCCTTTTTGGTAGTTCAAGGGAGGATGTCATGCTAATACAACATCTGTCGGTGACTTCGATAAGTGAAACCCGGCAGTGGGGGGGATCGCTCGGGGCTATGGCTCGAGGCTAATGTTTGCGTGGGTTTGTAGAACGATATCTGTGTAAATATACTGCATCTACGAATGTTGTGGAAGTCAACATCTCCTCAAAGCTGCGTTGTTTACTCACACCAATGAGTAATGATGAAGATATTACATATAAATACTTGCATTTTATGCCAATGTGGCGTCCATTGATACTATTGTCGGGCGCTTGCACTGACTAGAGTATTCCCAAGATGGGTCCTATGATGCTATATAGTATCTATTGCATGTATGAAACTAAAGGCTCAATGCGGCTGTCTCGTCAGTTTGATTACGGAACCATTTCGGAAGTCTGTGACAGAAGCTATAGCAGCTAGGGTAATTTCAGCGGTTGACTTAAGAGAGCGATGAGTTATCACTCCTGATCTTCGTCTTCGTTCACGTAGTTATCCTCGTCGTCATCCTCATCGTCCTCATCGTCCTCATCGTCCTCATCGTCATCCTCGTCATCCTCGTCATCCTCGTCATCCTCGTCATCCTCGTCCTCATCCTCATCCTCATCCTCGTCCTCATTCCCCCCTTCGTCCCTTTTCTCTGCTTGAGAGGCAGTATATTCGACTGCCATGTGTATCCGGCGGGCCACCTCCATGGCCTCGTCATCAGTCAGCTCCAATGGCGTTTCGAAGCCGTGTCCGTGGATCCAGGAGTCAATAAGATAAGTATCGGGGGCATCAAAATGAGAGGAAAGTGCGAGTAACACGCTCGTACGTATATATTTCCCTGGCGTCGGGAACGGCCGATGGGAGTGGTACTTTGCCCAGACCTCTCGCCATCCACTGCGATCGAGACGCTTGATGCGAACGAGCGCTATGATGAAACGGAAGTAGAGGAAGCGCGGGACTGGACGTTTGTCGTTGAGAAACGTCAATTCCTTTCCGTCGAGAGCACTTGCATTATCGCCATTGCTCGTATATGGCGAGTTCTTGATGGCGGGGCAAACGACATCTGTCCTCCATCTTCTGATGGGGGTTTCCGCCGCGTCGGCAGGAACGATCACAATGTAATAGCGGTCGTACCAGCTCTTGATCTGGTCGGCCAGTAGAAGTGCGTTCCCCGCTCGTTCAACCGACTCTGCTCGGTCGCCAAACAGCATTGCGGGTATGCAGTCGATATCGGCAAAGAAGGGTACGATATGTGCCGCGTCGATATCCTTGTCGAGATACCACATGCCGCTCGCATGGCACCAAACTCGGCCATTCCCGTCACTGCCGCTATAATAGTCCGTGGCGTCCTTGAGAAATGCTAAAGGTCGTCTTTGTGGCCTTTCCCGGCCATCTGATCTTGTGTAGAGAGGTAAAATGCTTTCCATCACAGCATGAGGAATTGGGATGAGATTGATATAACGTGGGATGGAAGTAGAAGGGCGTTGAATGAGACCGCAGTAACTTGACCCCAGCACTCGCTCTGTGTTGGAATCTTCGTAGTGTGCCTTCTTCTTCTTGTGTCTCCACAGGTCGCCCCCGGCAGAGAAGTAGCACTTATCCTGTCTTCGGATATATCTCATGGCCGTCTCGGGGGCCATGTCGCCTTTATGCATCAAATGGATCGCTAGCCTCTGCCCCGTCCGGATCACTTGTTTTTCTTGTGAAGCCAGGTCAATACCAAGCTTTGCCAGCTGAAGCTTCGCCTTTGGAGTTGTCTCCAGTTGCTCTTCGTCTGGCTCGACGCGTGGCTCTACTTTGCGCTTCAGGGCCGCGTATTCCTTCCGCAGTTGTCGCACTCTTGTGAACGCAGCCTCGATATCGGCCAGCCGTGTCAGGGCAGCCATGGTGGGTGAGCTACCCTCTGGTGAGCCTGGATTCATTGGTAGTTGTTATGATGGAGAGGTGGATTGCTTGGGAATTGTAGTTGGAAAAGGCGTAGTGTTAAACGATCTCTCTAATAATTTGTCCGAAGGCTTGTCTGGTGTAATTTCTGACGGAAGTTCTGGTGATGTATCTGACGGTTCATCTGAATGCCTGCCTGATGGTTTGTCTGATGGTTTGTCCAATGACTTATTTATACGAGGGGTTTTCTGCTTTTTCTTCTCCTTTATTGTATTCGTCGTGAAAACCTTGACATAGGATGGCTTGTCGTAGCTTCAGCGTACCATGGTGAAGACTGAGTTACGAAATAAAAGGTTCTGTAATACCTGGGTTGGCTTCAAAGTTTGATTCAGAACGATACCTGCCTTTATTGGACCCCAGACAAGGGGAACTGAACATCCGGGTCCCAGAGCAGCGGTCTCTCCTTTCTCATTCTAGAGGTGGACTTCGAAACGAACAGGTGTGCCCGAACCAGGCCCATGTCAAAACAATACCCATTACTCCCTTCCAGGAAAGGTTGAGAAGCACCATGGAACGCGTTGAAACGTCCGACCCGTGTGAACGGGGCCGCCGACATTATCGTATTTGCAGTACTGGACGTTTAGCCATTCCCCAAAGTCTGTGAAGTCGCTACGAGATCAACGTTACGTACCATTTCTCCCCCTCAAGGTTCGTGCCAGAAACATCAGCCACTCGGCCAAACCCCTGGACGTCCACGATGCTTAGCCCTAGACAGATGCGAACTCAAAGCCAACAGCGCTCGTGGTACAACTCCCGTTAGTTCTCCGACCCATGTGACATGCATCAGGGATGCGCTCATCTGTAGGCGGGATATCTCGGGTTGAAAGGACGACGGCTTCAAGAAATCGAAAGGAGAGCACATCTTTGGTGAGAGCGTGTGACAGGCTATTGTACTAGATGACGCCCTCATCGTCGTGGCAGTATCCATCGGCTGCTGTGCCGCGCAGTGTCGAATCCATTTGCCTCTGCACATACGGAATTGAATTCTTGTAGCCCATGATTGGCACGCGAAATGTGTATTGTCCTTCGGTGGTGACTGTGAATGCCCATTGTGATGGGTGCACCTTCCATTGGTAGAAGAATGCCATGGCGTCGAAAGTCGAGATGTGTGTAGCGTCTGCTGCTTTTGCTATAATGTTGTCCATCGTCTTCATGGGATAGAAATCTGTTATCGCATTTATGTTGACTGGTCGGATATCCATTACCATGCGTCCGTTGTGCTCATCCAGTTTACCATCTTTGGCGACGACAAAAACAGGCGATGAAATCGGCACCGGATGCCGCGTGGGATATGCCTTGTCGGCCACCTTCAACTTGTCCATTGTCCTGTTGACGATCGAACGACCTGCCTGTCCGATCGGATATATCTTGCATTTTTTTAGGCAAATTGAAGGGACGGCTAAGACCAAGAGAGATTTCGCTCTGCAGATGGTCTAGGCCTATGGTAGATTTCGCTCAAGATGGCAGGAGCTTCCCTATAGTCAATGCTAGAATCATGAATAAGGCAGCAGCTACGCGTGAAGATGGTAATGACGTTTGCTGCAACAGGGAAGTATAGCAAGTGGAAGGCGCGAAGGAGCCCCCACGGGCAAAGTATTAGGTCCAAGACCGCTGCCAGCACCAACGGGTTTGTCAAGGCCCCAAGCAGTTGGGAATAAACTCGGAAAGGAGGAACCAAGAGGGCCTCCACCGATACATTACCGGATGATGGGGTGAAACTCCTCTGGGGTTTGTGCCACATAGGCCGACTGGTCAAGTTGCGAAGGGAAGGAGGAGAAAAGACGAACGCCGGGGCCGTCTTGTGCTTTTAGATGATATTTGATATTGCCTTGACCAAGTCTAAGCACCCCGCGGCAGCACGGCTTCTCTTTCTTTGGTGGATACATATGTCATCGTACTAATACATAGCATCACCTATAATAGTTCCGATCACGGCGTCCCATGGTCCCCGCACCCCATACCACCCCTAGGTATTCCTACACATTCTTACCTTATGATGGGCGTTATAACGTTACATCAAAGTCAAGCTAAGTACCGACACCGCAGTATGCGGGATGTATATCTACAACAGGCCAATGAAGGCTGTATTGCTTGTTGGTTCGTTGACAACCAGAGAATACCTTCCCGTTGGAAAGGATCTCATCATTTTGCTCCGAAAAGCCGTTGATGAACAACATTTGGGCCACATGGATGGGTTCAACGCACAGAGAGCGCAGCCGGCTGTGGTTGTATCGAGTGATTGTCCTTGCGTATAACCGGTGCCATAAGCATCTCACAGAGTCGGCAGCGTGGCTAGGAACAACGCTTCCGGCATCGATGGCCGGGAGGGTATGGGAGCTGGTGCATGTCATCGCTTCACAGGTAGTTCGTGTACTTCTGCAGCTGGCATAAGGCTGGTGTGAAATCGTACCGAGCCTGGTTTACAAAAGCAATAGCGTCTAGTCGCAGCTTCGCCTTCCCCCCTTTTCCTGCCGTCAATGGTCTTGGCTTGTGGTCATGGCAAGCTGCTTTGAGCATCTCAGCTTCGCCGCGGTTTCGGACTATCCTGGGTTGGTACTCGTGTAATCTACACCTACAGTCCAGTCATGGTGCTTTTTTAATCATTACTAACGACTTTCTCTCATCGATGAAGCCTTTTCTTTGCGTCTACCCCGGGCACAACTCGGCCCCGCCCCCTAAAGATGACGAGAGAGTTGGATTTCAATGACGGCACAGCTGCAACGTTCCAAGACGGTTCAGGCGAGATTATGTGGCCCCGACCATGCTAAATTTGACAGCTTATCCGTACATACTACATATACAGTAGCACTCACCGGAATATTGCAACGTCGCGAGGCCGGCCAGTCGGCCCCCGCTGGAACGCGGGGATCCGTCGGCTCCGTAAACAGTGACACCTCGTCACGAAGATGTCCACTTGGAAGGTACAGCCGCGGGCTGGAGTCCGGCGAGAGGGTCAAAGCGGCGGGCCCGCCAACGATGCAGCGTTTCCTTCGAAGCATCTAATGCTGCGTTGGTAGTGGGAGTGGGCGATGGATACCGCCATGGTACTGGGAGAGGCCAAGCGAGGTGTGACGCTGATGTATTAAGATCAGAGGCGGCTCGCGCGACGGCAATGATTCCGGAACTTGGCTGCGACTGTGAGTGTGTGCCAGGATCTCAACGTGCTGGTAGTTGGCAAGATTGCGAGGATTTGAATTACCAGCTAGAAGAGTCATTCACGCATGGCTTGGCGGATGAGTGGAAACCGTCTCGTGGCCAGCTTGGTCCCAGTTGGGATGGTTCTTGCATTGAAGTCGCCAGGATGCAGGATGTGCGCAGGGCAGAGAGGGCAACGCCAGCAGGCGACGTCGTTTCGAGGTGTCACAGAACGAGGGTCGAGCCGCCCAGACTGTCTGGAGAAGCGAAGGCTCGCTTCGCCGCGTGCGATGCAGAATGGGCATCTTAAAGCGATGATTGGCAGGGCTGGTGATCTGCCGATCGACTGGCGCGGTTCATCCTCAAAGGATTGTCAAAGCTGAGAGCCCGAAACGTGGTTCCCTGTCCTTCCACACCATGGTGCCGAAGGCTACGGGGACTATATATCAACTTCGACATACGGACACGTGGTGACGTGCAACCCGGTCTGGATGGGCCAGGCACGATGAGCAGAGCGAATGCCCTACCTGGGCGGGCTCCTGACCAGCAGTTGATACGCCAAGATGGAGGCTTTTTCGTAAGTCCGCATTGCCGGACTGGCAGTGGACTGGTCGAGAAAACATTGAAAGATTCCAAGGACCAATCGTCATGGTGACCTGTGGAGCGTCAACGGTTCGCGCCTTGACACATTGGAACGAGATTGTTTAGGCTAAAGAACGTTGTCGATGAGATGGCATGGAAGATGTGTCGGTGTGTTTGAGGTTTCTGCCAATTCAGCGTGGAGAAGAGTCAGCACGGAGGGGCGCCGGTGTTGGAGATTAAGTCGTTCGGCGGCGAGCTTGGATCGAAATGGGAATAGGGGCCGAGCCCGCGCTCTCCCCTGTAACCGGACTGTTGGTCAGTGATAGGGAAGAGGTTGAGTTGACTTGGGACCACCATTTCGCGAGCAAATCCAGGCGGGGCCGTTGAAATGCGACTGGAACTGGTTTGACTAGTATTAATGCTGGTGCCGCAGCTGGAAGGCCGGCCACCATCCGATTTGACGAGTGAGATGGTCAGCGATAACCTGGGTCTCGACCATCGAGCGTTAGAATGTGTCACTGGTCCGACGACGCACGATAAAAGGCTCCTGGTTAAGACTGTCGGCACTTGGGGGTCAGGCCCTGGTAGGGCGGAGTGGTATCTGGATGGATTCTGTTGAAAGCCGGAAGAAGGATTTCTTATCGCCCTGGCATGCGCATGAGCCGGCAGGGCCCAGTAAGTTCCGCAACTCCCATGAGGCGAATTCTTAGCTCAGAAGCCCTGGCTTCGTTCCTCGGATGTGTCCAACATGAAAATCGCTTCCTTGAAGGAGAAGGCCGCAGAGCGCCGCTGTCACCTGGGCAGTCGTCGTACACGTAGTGGGCGCCAGGACCTCGAACATGTATTAATGAATTAGTATTGGCACGGCCCGGACACACACAGACGGTGCTGCCTCATGTAGTTTGTCCTGCAATAATACCGCGGATGGCACTCATTGCGCCAGGCTTGCAGGCCGGCGGTTGGCTGTCGATACGGAACGGCGGACCTGCAGGCACCTGGGACAGCGGAAGAAGGGCCGGAGGGGAGCAGTGGAGGTTGTTTGGTATTACGTGGGAGCGGCGAACGGCCGTGGACGGCGAGAGGGTGTACTATGTAGAATGTCGGGGGCCGGGCGAATGGGCGATGGCGTAAAGGCAGGCAGATGGCACAATCCCTCCATCATTACCAACCACTTAGTACACTACCTCCGCATGGCACGGGCATCTGGATATAGATAGGTACTATTCAGAAAAGATGGTGTCTGCAGTAATTCAGGGAGGCAGCCGTGGGTGCCTACCTACATGCATGCATGTGCTTCCATGTGGGCGGGTGGGTGCATACAGGAGAGCGAGCGCGCGCAAGCGAACCATGATAGAAAACAGGCACAGAAGAAGCAGAGAGGCACAGAAACACATTGAGCAAGGCGCATGTATCGACGGGAAGGGAAGCAGAGTTCAGACCGGCGACAGTAAGGGCTCGGGGTAAGACGGCGCTATGACAGGATATGCCTTGCGGCATTGGACCAGCCAGGAGACCGAGGTCTTATGCGAGAGAGGAGGACCAGATGACCGGCAGAGTTTTGCGCCTCTAACTTGCCAAGGCTGTAACAGCGTGCATCCAGAACACAAAGACCATCGTCAGCAGTGAGCGAGCGCTACTCACTCAGTAGGTCACAATACTTTGTAGGTGAGAACTGTATTCGTATGCTCGGTAGTACGGGCGGCGGGGTAACGCAGGGTACAGACGGTGGGGGGATTCCTCTGTTCGTGCTATTTCTCTGGGAGCAAGGCAGTGTCGACCTTATCTTGGTTGCTCGAGGTTGGGATTGCCGTAGAACTCGCGGGGATAGGGATAGGCGAGGGGCAGCGTCGAATAGGACGGATGGGCTGAAGGGCCATTAACCACTCAGCAGCCCAAGGCGGCTAATGTTTCTTTTGACAGACGAATACTGGCAGACACGCTGGCATCGTGGCATCACCCTCTTGGCACCCCCCCCCCACCGGCTTGCGGAGCCGGTGACATGCATGCTGGATGGCCTCGATGAAAACCCGGTCAGAGTTCTGGGGGACCCTCGAAGGCGACTTCTGCTTCGGGGTAAGGGCTGTGGTGAGAGAGAGGGCTAGCCGCATTGTGCATTACCCCTGCAGCTCTGTCCACTCTTGATCCCTTTCCTCCCCGTTATTTTCATGAGCGCTTGCAACGAGAGGAAAAGATGGACCGACAGAAAAAGGGGGGCATCGAGTCCAAGATGGCAACGGTTAGCGTCGTCGGTGTCTGGCGCCTCTCGCAAGGCCACCCGTCCGTCTCTCTTCCATTTTTGTCTGCTCTTGGGTACGGTACTACTCCGTACTGCGTGGTAGCTGGTATTTAACGGGTGGAGGAGGAGGTACAACAAGTTGTCCAGTTTTATCACCGGATCAGCCGTGATTGGCGTCAGGCGTACCAACATCGGTCCGCCAGTGAGTCAGCTCATTTGATTGGTGGTGGTAATGGTGTGCCGGTGATAAACTTTGAAATGCAGATGGGGATTCTTATTTTGGCCGAGACACCGCAGAAACGGCAAAAGTGCCACAGATATCTGTACGGATACGTTGGTAGAAATGGAACAAGGTCAGAAGGAGCAGAA